CTGGAGCTGTGTGTGAGGGCGCGGTTGACATAGGCGCTCACAACTCTCCGCTTGTGCAAATCTGGACAATAATATTTACCTGAGGGTCACTATCTCTCTCTAGTGGCCTCGACGAGGACAGGAAGCCGGCGACTTGTCAAAATTCCCCCCATTTGCCCTAATTTTTTCAAGCTCAATTTTAAAAGTTCAACAGAGTTTTGGCCTTTACGGTTTCGGCGGGAAGGTGATTCCATGAGTTTATAACCCTGTGGGGTGACACAGCATCTCCTGTTTTCAGTGCTACATTATGGCTTGTTGGGGGTTGATGCCGTTGCTCCGGATACCAGGCTTACCAGACTGGCTATTGTGGCCTTCTGTGGTAAAAATTGTAGATGTATTTCTTGAGATATTTGTTCGTATCATTTGGAGTAGGAAGGTCTAAGGTTCGGAACATGTTGGTGGTTTTTATTTCGGATTATGGATTGGTAGAGTGGAGGTGTCCACGGTGGCTGAACGTCTGGGGTTCTTGAAGGACACGCTGGTGTGATAAATACTCAACCTGGTGTAATAAATGCATTACAGTACAAATAATTCATACTGAATCCACATTGCTCCTCTTGACAACCTGTTTCTGAATTTCACTAACGGCCAGAAGACAGATTGTTGACAGCAGTCAATACAGCAATCTCGTATCGACTGCAGTAACGGAGCAGTAAGTCTTGTCGCAAGACAGAGAACTGTTAACCTGTCAGTCATGCACAACACTACTGTTCCACACAGAAGAGTGAGGGGAGACATGATAACCACCTACAAAATTCTCAGGGGTATTGACAGGGTGGACAAAGACAAACTCTTCAGCACGGGTGGAACACGAACAAGGGGACACAGGTGGAAGCCGAGTACCCAAATGAGCCACAGAGACATTAGAAAGAATTTTTTCAGTGTCAGGGTAGTTAGTAAATGGAATGCCCTAGGAAGTGATGTGGTGGAGGGTGACTCCATACACAGTTTCAAATATAGATATGATAGAGCCCAGTAGGCTCAGGAACCTATACACCAGTTGATTGACAGTTGAGAGGCGGGACCAAAGAGACAAAGCTCAACCCCCGCAAGCACAAACAGGTGAGTACACAGATCGCTGCTGCTCTGATTTATAGTTGGATCCTGCTTGTAAGGCTTCAAATAGATGAAGGCTCCAGTGTTCATAGAGCTTACCAAACAGGCCTGACATTGTAAGGTTTAGCCCCTTATGTCCACTTACTGACCTTGTTGTAACTGGCGCATTATTTTATTGAACTTTACTGACGTTCGAGTGAGTTCTTTGTTGTGTCTTCGTCAAGTTGTGGATAGAGGTGGTTTTCACGGCTTCTTATTTCAGTGCATTCCATTTATATATCTTTCGTATAGGGTGAGTATGTCCTTATATTTCTTCGACTCCTTTGTGTTTCTAGCTTCCATCTATGTTTTCTTGTCCTGTTTTCTGTTACTTTAAAGATACTGTTCTTGGCCACCTTGTCTATTCTCAATGTTATATATGCTGGGAATATCACCCGCTGTGCCATGCCAGTCTCTTTTTCTTCCCCTAGTACCTTTACAGCATCAACAAACATGTTCATAGTATATTATTCACTCTGGTGGATCGTTTATGTAAACTATGAACATAACTGGTGTTTGAACTGACTCTTGTGGTACTCTGTTATGAACATCTTTTCAATCTGATATAATGTCCCTGATAAAATCATTGTCCTGATCTTTCTGTCAGTTTTTGTTTTATCCTTAACAAAAGTGTGCCAGTCACCCCTCCAGTATGTTCCAGCGTCCTGAACAACCACTTGTGTGGGACTCTGTGCCACAGATTGGAACTGTTTGTTTGTAGATTGGAACTATGTTTACACTTATTTTGTCTACGTCATCTTGAAGGACATGACAATCGTCGAACTCTATTATCTTCCCAAGAGAGAGAGAGAGAGAGTGTGTGTGTGTGTGTGTGTGTGTGTGTGTGTGTGTGTGTGTGTGTGTGTGTGTGTGTGTGTGTGTGTGTGTGTGTGTGTGTGTGTGTGTGTGTTTACTAGTTGTGTTTACTAGTTGTGTTTTTACGGGGGTTGAGCTTTGCTCTTTCGGCCCGCCTCTCAACTGTCAATCAACTTGTTTACTAACTACTTTTTTTTTTTTTTTTTCACACCACACACACACACACCCCCCAGGAAGCAGCCCGTGACAGCTGACTAACTCCCAGGTACCTATTTACTGCTAGGTAACAGGGGCATTTAGGGTGAAAGAAACTTTGCCCATTTGTTTCTGCCTCGTGCGGGAATCGAACCCGTGCCACAGAATTACGAATCCTGCGCGCAATTCACCAGGCTACGAGGCCCCTTTGTGTGTGTGTGTGTGTGTGTGTGTGTGTGTGTGTGTGTGTGTGTGTGTGTGTGTGTGTGTGTGTGTGTGTGTGTGTGTGTGTGCGTGTGTGGCCACTTGCAATGTCAACACGGTATGCAGACGATGAGTCACAATAACGTGGATGAAGATACACAACTTGATAATGGTCCTGGACGGACCGAAACGTGGTCGTTTTTTCACTTTGTGATGTGTGGTTTGGTCATCTGAGCACGACGGAACAAGCTCATCCTCATTTCGGTTAGCCGGCTGTTATGGTGACGAAGAGAAGGGTATTATCAGGGGGAAAGCGCCAAGATCATTACGACTAAACAGCACTTGGAAGGCGTCAGGATAAGGATTTGGTTTGGATTGGTAAAGGAATGGTGCCTAACCACTTGGACGGTCGGGGATTGAACACCGACCTGCATGACGTACAGTCGTTCTATCATCCAGCCAAAGTGGTTTGGTGTTATAGCGGCGTGTTTGCAATATTTTTATCGGTGAATGACAATACGCCATCGCCCTTATTGCTGCATTCTGCTATTCGGCAAGACTCGGTGATTCCACTCCAGTTTCGGAAAGTGGTAGTTACTTCATCTTGTGTTGAAATACTAGATTGTGAAGCTCCGTTACGTTAGTCACACCGCACACAGCTCTCAGCCCTCGTCCACCACACATTACTGTGTGTGGTTTGGTCACATCTATCCTCAAATTGGACATGTTGTGTCTTCTGTTTGTCTATAATATTGGACTTTATTCTTGAAATCTATTACATATTTTAGTGTGGAGCTGCGTATGCTCTTTGGCTGTGTATACTCTTGTAGACCGTTGATAGCCTCGTATCATATGTAGATAAATACACATTGTTCAAAGGTTAATTATTGTATTATTACTAATGCATATAGTATGCTGAGAATTGTACCTCGGTCATAGTAGCCTATGCACTTTTGAATTCAGATAATTTTCTCATATTTTGTGACCATACACTGTAACATTGTATATAGAACCATTCTTAGATTATTACCTCATTTGTAATTTGATTACAAATGAGGCAAAAGAAACCCGATTGTTACTAAGTTTACCGCAAATATAATTTTTTTAACTTAAAGATCATGGGGTCCAGCAGTTGGTGGACCCTTATCATGTGACTGTGTAACCTTTCCCACACCACCCACACGACGCCTATGGGGTACATTATAAGGCTAAATTTTACTAAGAATTTCTAAATTGGGTAATTTACCTAGGAATCGTAAATATGTGGTCCTATGTTTAGTAAGATTTACTTAGAATTTATATGCTGTGCATGCTGTGCATTTTTAGACATGTTAAATATTTCAATTAGGTTTGTATACAGAAATTAACTTTACATACTCCGACAAGTATACATGATGTTATAACTAAACAGTTATGCTTGCGGAGCTCTGTGGCTCACCTGAGTCACAGTTTCCACCTGTGTCCCCTTGTTTGTGTTCCACCCATGATAAATACTTTGTCTTTGTCCACCCTTTAAATTCCTGGGAATTTTGTAGGTGGTGATCATCTCGCCCCTAACCCTTATGTCTTTCAGGGACGTGAGGTTTAATGCCGGTAGCCTTTCTTCGTAACTCATACCTCTCGGCTCCGGGACAAGTCTGGTGGCATACCTCTGAATCTTCTCCAACTTTGTCTTGTGTTTAACTAAGCATGTACTCCAGGCTGGAGCTGCAAACTCAATAATTGGTCTGACATATGTAATATACAGCGTTCTGGATTTCTTACTCATGTTTCTAATGGCAATTCTTATGTTGGCCAGACTAGCATATGCCGCTGGTGATATCCCTTTGATGTGGACTTCTGGGAACAGGTTCGTTGCGATATCAACCCCCAGATCTTTCTTTCTACTAGACTCTTTTTAAGTATTTCACCTCCCAGATGGTACTTTGTGTTCGGCCTTTTGCTCCCTTCACCTAATTTTAACTTACTTGAGTTAAACTTTAGTAACCATTTCCTAGACCATTCTTCCAGCTTGTCCAGGTCGTCTTGTAGTCTACCCTGTGGAAGATCGTTTATATATCAGAAACAGGATGGGTCCAAGTACAGAGCCCTATGGGACTCCGCTGGTGACATCTTGGCACTCAGAAACGAACTAGGGGTTCAGTTCCTGAACCAATTATGTGCCTCTGTAACCCTTTACACCACCGCCCACGGGATGGGTATGGGGTGCATAAATAAAGAAATTGAATTGAGGTCTTTTCCCCTTACGGTAACACTCTGTATTCTGTTTAGATACTCTCTTATCCACTGGAGCACCTTATCTGTTATTCCTGCCTGTTTCTCCAACTTTTGTAACAGCCTTTTATGGGGTACTGTGTCAAAAGCTTTCTGACAGCCTAGTGCTACAAATTAATTTTATGTTAAAATGTGAGGGAGCGATATCGTCTGACTGCCATTGTTTCAATAATCCCGGTTCGTGTTAAACATAAATAAATTTGATTAAAGCTAAGTAATTTACATTCATGGTGAGTAGATACACTCACCACGAATGCAAATTACGAATGTTGCAGTAGATGCACCTTTGCGTTTATTAAAGCCAGGTATTTGTCAAAACTAATATTATAAATTCCATAATAAATTAGGATAAAACTTTGGGTAGATAGTGAGGTGCTGTGTGATGATGTAACCGGTGTTGGCCGGTGAGAGTGTGTGTCTAGCGCCACAGCTTTGACGGGATCCACTCACTGAGCACCGCCGGCCACCTCCTCCTGTCCCCTTGCTGGCTCGCGATGCCTGACAGCTTCAGTGTGTAGTGGAGTTAGTGGCGGTGGGGCTGACAGCTTCAGTGTGTAGTGGAGTTTGTGGCGGTGGGGCTGACAGCTTCAGTGTGCAGTGGAGTTTGTGGCGGTGGGCTGACAGCTTCAGTGTGTAGTGGAGTTTGTGGCGGTGGGCTGACAGCTTCAGTGTGTAGTGGCGGTGCACCACAAGGCGGTGGGGGCTGACAGCTTCAGTGTGTAGTGGAGTTTGTGGCGGTACACCACAAGGCGGTGGGGCTGACAGCTTCAGTGTGTGGTAAAGATTCTGGCGGTGCACCTCAAGGAGAGCTTCAGGCTTCATTGAAGTTTAACGGAAACTTGCATCACTCCTCAAGTGTCAGGAATTTACGACCGCTGAACGGAGACATCCATGTGAGTTGTTGACGCTAGGTAAAGTTCATAATATGAAGTGGTAACCTTTTCTAAAATTGTCATAGACCTTGTTGCTGTTGGTATGAAGGGCAGGACACCTTGTGTAATATTAGCATAATTATTATTGTTATACGTCACACCGGCACTTATCATATGGGACCCTAGAGACGTATTTTGTGTAACAATTACGAATTACTGTTACATAAACCTCTCTTCCTGTTCGTGTGTACTTCTTATAACGAATACAAATATTAATTAACATTTACGAAAATAGCGTTGTTATTAGAGTACTCACCTAGTTGTGGTTGCGGGGGGTTGAGCTTTGGCTCTTTGGTCCTGCCTCTCAACCGTCAATCAAATGATGTACAGATTCCTGAGCCTACTGGGCCGTCATATCTACATTTGAAACTGTGTATGTAGTCTGTCTCCACCACATCACTTCCTAGAGCATTCCATTTATTAACTACTCTGACACTGAAAAAGTTCTTTCTAATGTCTCTGTGGCTCATTTGGGTACTCAGCTTCCACCTGTGTCCCCTTGTGCGTGTACCACCCATGTTAAATAATCCATCCTTGTCCACCCTGTTAATTCCCCTGAGAATTTTCTATGTGGTGATCCTGTCTCTCCTAGCTCTTCTGTCTTCCAGCGACGTGAGGTGCAGTGTGTGAGACCAGCTGTGGGTTGGGTGCCAAAGGGGTTTTGCCCAAACACTGACAGTAACGTCGGCGATTGTTTGATTTTTGGAGTTTTCTCTCCAGTGGTAGATTAATTAATAGATTGAAATATACATAAAACTAGGTAATAGTCCATACTGTGTACAACGCTTAACAAACACACAACTTTATGCTATTAATTATTAGGGATATAGCACGTTGCGTTTTGACGTATACGTTACCTAAGACCAAAAACTGATGTACAAGAAATGGTTTGTGTCAGCAGACTTAACACTTCTTTTGTGTTCACTTCAACACTTCTCCAGCTTGTACCCAATGTTGTGGGTTCTGACCCTTATTATTTCTAATTCCAACTTAGGATAGTACCTCCAATAACATGATCCCCTGCCTAACTAATCGACTCTCTCGTGAGGCACAGTATCACAAGTTTTGCTCAAGTAAAGTTATACATCGTCACAGCCCTCTCCACTATCATAAAACATAAGAGTGAAGGTAACTGCGGAAGGCCTATTTGCCCATACGAGGCAGCTCCTATTTACATCAGATGTCTCAAAAATGCTGTAAAAGAAAGAGATCAATATGGTCAAAGACGAGCAGCCTTTGTACATCCCTGTTGTGAATCCTTTATCATACTAAGCGGTTCAAAATGTGACTTGCATTACTTTGAAACAAATTAAGAAAAGGACAAAATTGAGTATTAAAGATATATTACTTTGAATACTATATGAAAGATTCAAGCAGTACTAACACATAAAAATATTATTCCCATATGTAAACACGTCCTTCACATATGGAAGGGGGAAAGTCTACGTGGAAGGCCGCAGTGTACATGAGAGCATGATTAGTATACACATATTACTGGCAATACCGTTCTGATGTTTGCGGAAAGATAATGAATGTAAAGTACGTGGTATGGTGCGGGCACACGCTGGGGCATTGTGTACAGCAGTGTACACTGTTCCATTACTACACAAACATAGACATTTGTGTGAATATTGTGGGGAAGACTATTTTTAGGACTAAGAACCTTGCCACAAAAAAATATATAACAAAACTGAGAGGAGAGAATGCTGGTATCCATTAATATTATTTCAGTATAATAATTTATGGTTATTCACTAATCATTATTAGTCACCATAATTAATTATCCACTTTAATTATCTATTTATTCGTTATAATGAGCTAGTATGCTTCTTCATTTAAGGATTATCAATTATTTAATCACTTATGATAATTAATTATTTGTATTTAATAAATAATTAATTATTATTATTATTATAAAAATAAATTAAGTCCCACTCTGTGAGCGTTTTCTTCCAACCGCAGAATGCTGGTGTTGAGACAGTAGTGGTGTCTCTTGACAGGAGAGAGACAGTGGTGGTGTCTCGTGACAGGAGAGACAGTGGTGGTGTCTCTTGACAGGAGAGAGACAGTGGTGGTGTCTCGTGACAGGAGGGACAGTGGTGGTGTCTCGTGACAGGAGAGACAGCAAGGATGTAAGGAGAGTATGATAAGTGAGATGAATGAGTCAGAAGAGAGAGCGAGCCGCGGCCGGGAGCTGTTAGTGGTCATCCTGCTGATGACACCCTCTCTACGTGTAAGATTGAAGGACGTTACATCTACCACCACTATATGAACCTCATGACACCACGTGAACAAATCCACAAGGGCCGTGACGCGGATTCGAACTTGCGTCCGAGAGCATCCCAGACGCTGCCTTAATCGACTGAGCTGGTCTCATGACACCACACTCGACCTGGTCGTCACAGCCCGTCCTCTTGAACGTTCCCGACGTTACCTTCAGGTTACCTTGAGGTGTTTTCGGGGCTAAGCGTCCCCGCGGCCCGGTCGTCGACCAGGCCTTCACGTTCCTGAACTGGTCAACCAGGCTGTTGGACGCGGTTGCTCGCAGCCTGACGTATGAGTCACAGTCTGGTTGATCATTAAGCTGTTCTACTAAACACTGATTGGAAAAGTACTGATAGGTAAGTGTTGATAGGTAAGCGTACATGCACATACGACCAGCTCGGGTGTGGTCGATGTCCCGTTTTCTGTTTGTGGGTCCTCGGATTGGTTAGGACCAGGCACTTTAGTACAGTAGTTCAGTCACGTTGGAAACGCTCAGGATGATTGGCTGTGAAGTGACGTCTGGCTCTATACCCCGCCTATTATTAGCCTTGTTGTGCTAATAATGACATGCACGATATGCCTTGTTGCGCATGATGCGTTATATCAAACTATTCTGACGTTTGCATTCTTTGTCGAATCTGGCCATGAAGTTGTTGATGTTGGTGGCTTCCATAGCTTTTTTTCAGTACATTCCACTTGTTGACCACCTGTAGCTCTGTAATTTTTCAATTTTAGTTGTATTCTTGGGATTACAGGCCGGTGCTTCATATTCCTGTATAAGTCTTAACAAAAAGTGTGTAGATTGCCTTAAAAGATTCCTGAATTAAGTTTCTAGATGACGTTGTAATGTTTGACAGCGTCTCATATGATGCCTATGTCATCCCGCCTAGATGTGCCTCTGGTTGTATGTAGTGTTGGAATTGTATCCATTCTCAGAACTCTCCAGTGACCGTAGTTACCGCCCCCTTGCCGTGGCGACACCATCTATTCTCCTTTCTTCCTCTCACGTTTTCGTTACCTTAAACTTATTGCGATTGAACTCCAGCAACCATTTCTGGCGTGTGCGTTTTGGCGTGTGCGCTGGCGTGTGTGCGCTGGCGTGTGTGTGCTGGCATATGTGGGGTTGCGTGTCGGGGTGTGGAGACCCACACCAGTTAGGCTGGTTATGATGCAACATGAGGGGCTAAGAGCAACCGTCATGCGCCAGACACACCTTCAGGGCTGCTGTTTCAGGGACCCAGGACCACCCCACCACAAGGACACTAGGTGTTACAAGGCCTTTAAGTAATTTTGGTTGTGGCCGGTAGTGTAACAGAGCCTTTATCGTGTTATAAATGAGCCCAGCTCTAATGTTATGATTTTCAGAATTCCAGTACAATTTTGAGAGCACTCGTGAACAAATACTGTTCACAAGGGGTTCTTCCTGGGTTTAGTGTCACGAGGGGTAGAACAGTGTGAGCTTGTTTACTAGCGCTATACAATGTCAGGTTTCACCCTGAGGACTCCTCCATGTTTAGCTGACTTCTCACCGATAATTTCAGCCATCTGTTAGGAGGTCGGGCCACTTTCTGGAATGTATTATAACATTCCCTCACGATGTTTTATAGTTTTGTCTTACCTTTCAGTATCTTCTGTATCGCGCCAGAGTGGAATCTCGCCATGGTCGTCTGTCCAATTATGCCCCGCTCATATATCATCCACAGACAAAACGCCTTGAAAATCATTTTAAGCTGACCAATAAACTCGCCCCTTGGTGCAAAATTTAAATTTAAATTTAGCTACTTCTATGTCTATTTAAGAGTCGTAGCGGTAATATATATACTGTACTGGTATTGGACATACATGTATTTTGTCAGTCATTTAACAATACTCATTAGACGTATTTAAATCCTTTCACTAGCTCTGGTGACTTTAAAATCAGTTTAGAGAATGAATGACTATTTATCACAGAGTAAATTCAGGGGGATTATTAATTAACTATCATATGCATCAGCTAGGCATATATAATAACCAGACAAGTGAATCAATGAAAGAATGTTGGAGTTCCTTGAATTACAAAAATAGGCGAATTTATTGACTGTCACTTTAAATTAACCTTGAAACATCCTATAGGTAAGATACTCTGACATAACTTAAGACACTTAAGGACATAACTTAAGGACTGAGAACAGGAAATGCTTTTTCACCCACAGGGTTATAAACCAATGGAACCGCCTACCCGCCGAAGCTGTAAATGCCAAAACTATGTTAAAATTTAAAATCTACCTGGAAAAGATCAAGGGAAATGGGGGGGGGGGATCTTCGACAAGCCACCGGCTTCCTGTCCTTGCCAAGGCCATTAGGGTTAGTGGTCCTCGGATAAATCAGGTAATTATCAGGTACTTAAGTAATTATGAACACGGGTTACGGAACAAAGGCACCTACTGATTCTCGGGAAACTTAAAAGACAAACTCGATCCACCATCAATTTCTGTCATTGCAATTCCACATGAAACCAGTTTAAAGTTTTACAGCCATTTACGTTAATAATCGATTAACTCTACCAAACTAAACTCTACGGCAAGTAAATCTCACGTCGTTGGAAGAGAGAAGAGTTAGGAGAGACATGATTACATCCTACACAGTTCTCAGAGGAATTGATAGGGTGGACAAAGACAGCCTATTTAGCATGGGTGGAACACGAACAAGGGGACATAGGTGGAAATTGAGTACTCAAATGAGCCACAGAGACATTATAAATATATTTTCAGTGTCAGGGTAGTTAACAGATGGTTTGCATTAAGCAGTGATGTGGTGGAGGCAGACTCCATACACAGTTTCAAATGTAGATATGATAGAGCCCAGTAGGCTCAGGAACCTGTTCATCAGTTGATTGACAGTTGAGAGGCGGGATCAAAGAGACAGAGCGGAACCCCCGCAAGCACAACTAGGCGAGTACAAGAGGCTGGCGGGCGGCCACCAAGTTGCCCCGGTGAGACCTGTGTTCCTGCTCCCAGCCTCCCACCACCCCTTCTTTGTGTCTGCCAGCGGCCGACAAATTCCTTCCCCTCTCAACGTTCTCTATCTGTGCATATTATTTGCATCCTGCTACTATGACATTAGGAGATGCAAGAAATCTGTTGTTCAGGGCTTCAACAACCGGGAGAGCCAAGAGAAAACATATTGTGATGAAATTTGAACAAAAAGTTCAAGTTTGTAAAGGAAGTTGAAACTGGATTTCCTAATGTTCTACATTCAGCACCAACATTATAATGAGTAACTATACCATAGTTCTTCATTACATTATTGCTAGGAAGCTCTGGGTAGCTTTTGGGTAATTAGACGGATCCATATTGACCCTACTCATATAAACTGAGGTGTTTTGTTGCAGCTGGTGTGATGGCTGGACGCCGTGCACGGAGCCAGCTGGCCCGGGTCCTGGGTCTTGGGGTAGGTGTGGCCGGGGCAGCTGCCCTCGCTGCCTCATACTACTACGACGATGACCAGCACACAAAGGTACTCATTCCCCATCTTTATCCTAACTGCCTGCTTGGCTCACTCTTGATACTCCTGCTTGGCTCACTCTTGATACTCCTGCTTGGCTCACTCTTGATACTCCTGCTTGGCTCACTCTTGATACTCCTGCTTGGCTCACTCTTGATACTCCTGCTTGGCTCACTCTTGATACTCCTGCTTGGCTCACTCTTGATACTCCTGCTTGGCTCACTCTTGATACTCCTGCTTGGCTCACTCTTGATACTCCTGCTTGGCTCACTCTTGATACTTCTGCTTGGCTCACTCTTGATACTTCTGCTTGGCTCACTCTTGATACTTCTGCTTGGCTCACTCTTGATACTTCTGCTTGGCTAATTCTTGATACTCCTACTTGGCTCACTCTTGATACTCCTGCTTGGCTCACTCTTGATACTTCTGCTTGGCTCATTCTTGATATTCCTGCTTGGTTCACTCGTGATAATCCTGCTTGGCTCACTCGTGATATTCCTGCTTGGCTCACTTGTGATATTCCTGCTTAGCTCACTCTTAATATTCCTACTTGGCTCACTCTTGATACTCCTGCTTGGCTCACTCTTGATACTCCTGCTTGGCTCACTCTTGATATTCCTGCTTCCTTCTTAATACTGCTACTTGGCTTGCCTCTTATGAAAATAATATTAATAATAATATAGGATAAATAGTAATAATAATAATAATAATAATACAGGGGTACCTCGGTTTAATAATTTAATCCGTTCCTGGAGACGATTCGTAACCCGAAAATTCGTAAACCCGAAGCAAATTTCCCCATAAGAAATAATGGGAAATGAATTAATCCGTTCCTGACTCCCCAAAAACTTCACTTAATGCTCGGTAAAGTAATTTTTATACCTAAGTCACCCAAATCTTCACTACAAAAGTACTGTATGTTGAAGTTATTACTTACCCTTGGTGGTGACTCCTGTTGGCATATGGAAGATGGTGAGAAGGGGGAAGAAGGAGAGGTGTTACTATTTGGAAGGGGAGTCCCCTTTCCTTTATAACATCAGGCAGTGAAGATTTCTCTGGAGTGCACTCTCTGGCACATTTTGCCTGCATACCACTAGGTCCTGGTTGTTGCTCACTGCTTGATTTTCTCACAAGGAAATGTTCCATTGAAGATTGTTTTTCTCTTCTTTGCAACACTTGTCTGTAGTGAGGCATCACATTGTCATTGAAAAAGATTAATGCAACAGCCTACTACAGCTTTCTCTAGGTAAGTCGTTTCATGCTTACCATACCATTTTCATGCTTACGAATGATCTTTTGTTTTTCCTCTATGGTTGTTCTCACACATGATTTCTTACCTTGAACCTTACCACTGGCTTTCTTGGGACCCATGGCTTGATATATAATAACAACTTTTATGGTCAAATAGCCAAAAATCCCAAAAGAAACTGTAAATCCTTGTGAAGAATTCAGACGGGATAGTCACTGGGCGCGAGGCACTGGTAAACTGAGGCGCAATCGCTGTGCCACCATGTGCTAGGTCAGCCGTATGCATATCAACAAATTTGTATCCCGATTCAAAATTTCCGAACAAATCGGGCTCGTAACCCGAAAAGTTCGTAAACCGAGGTGCCACTGTAACGGATAAATAATAATAATAGTATAGGATAATAATAATAATAATACTGTATAGGATATATAATAATAATATTATAGGATAAATAATAATACATGTATAGGTAATTGATTTACACAAATGTACAACATATGATACATGAACAGAAGAATATACATAGGTGAGACAAGGACAATGCAAAAGCCACTAATATACAGTGTAATTTTTAGGCATAAGTTAAAATAAAATACAGTAGTTAGGTTTAAAAGTTTGATGAGTATACACTTACTATTTACAAGAAACAGGCTAACATAAAATTTGGTCAATATTTATTTATTTATATATATATATATATATAGAAGAAGGTACATTGGGGGTTAACAGAGAACATAGAATTTAAGTTGAATTTACATTCTTGTAAAGCCACTAGCACGCATAGTGTTTTGGGCAAGCCCATAGATAATTTTTAGATAATTAAGATTAAAATTGACAAAAAATGTTTACAGGTACGTTACAGCATTACTTTACAGATGATTTTAAGTAGAAAAATTACAGTAAATTGAAAAAAAAAGTTTACAGGTACATTGCAAGAAATTTTGACACAAAAGCAGATTAGAATAATACACAATAATAACAGTACTCAATAATGAACAAGGATTACTAGGTATAATAGGAAAACATCTCAGGGTTATACATTGGTTCACTGAAGCACAATATGAAGATCATTACAAAGAATAATGCAGTAGAATGTGCACTCAATACAACATATCAGATGATCTAAGATTACAATGGTAAAGTAATATGGCTTAGGTACAAATATTGGAGGAATGGGTAGCACTAGAAACAGTGCGTAGATAAAGCTCTAGGTAGAAGACTCTGAAGATGAAATTAGGTACTTTTTGGTTTTAATTTTAAATAAGGCAAAAGTTGGATAGCTTTTCAATTCATTAGGGAGTGAGTTTCATAGACTAGGTCTCTTTATTTGCACAGAGTGTTTATACAGATTCAGTTTGACTCTGGGGGATATCAAAGAGATATTTATGTCTGTTGTGATTCCGTTTAATTCATTTATTATGTACCCCATACCCATCTTGTGAGCAGTAGTGGAAAGGGTTACAGAGGCACATAATGGGCTCATGGACTGAACCCCACAATTCATTTAACTAAGCAAGTTACAATCTTGGTGAACTAGTTACAAAATTCAGTATAAGTCGTCACATCAACAATGGGTTCGAGATTGACCACAAGTACAGTTTCTAAATTAAGCAACTGACATATGTGGAGAGCTAGTGTCACAATTGATATATTTGTCCTGCACACCGCCCGCTATCCAGTGGGCAGCAGTGGATAGGTTACAGTCACTTAGTTACTACCTACTGTTTGCAAACTGGGTATATTTGGCTAAAATTTCTGGTAGCAGATCATTTTGAATGAAATATTTACACATCGTTGGAACAGTGGTTATAGAATTGTCTCTGAATTCACGTATCTTTTCGCACTCCATCACATAGTGACGGAGGGTGTGTGAATAATTTTGTTGACAGTTTACATTTGGTCAGGTCTACATCGGCAGATAATGAGAATTCCCCGAGATACTTGTAACCGAGTCTAAGCCGAGCAGTAGTAACATCTAGAAGTCTGCTGATTTTATTGGATGAACCATAAATGTGTGGCTCCTCTTGCATGATAGTATGATGATAGAACTTTGCCTCAGATCTACAAGATCTTGTTGAAGTTCTCGGTGTACTGCTGCTCTCAGATTGCTCATTGACAATCCAAGGTTACACTCATCTCCTTTAAAGGCAGATTCTTTGGCTAACTTATCAGCTCTATCATGCATTCAGAAGCCAACATGAGATGGAGACCACATGAAATGGGCTCTGTTACCATCTTTAATAATTTTGTTGTATTTGTGTCTAGCTTCGGACATGAGCATGTTACAGTTATGTCTTAAAGAGTTGAGAGCAATTAAGGATGATAAGGAGTCACTTACAATTAATGTATCAGGTTTGGAGACTTGTACACACGGTGTGGTGATTATGTGTTCTATTACATCTGTCAAGGAAGAGTTTCAGTGCAGGGTTTGCACTTAAAAACAGGGTTTTATAAATGTAATTGACACAAGAGAATGTATGGAGTGAATTTATGTTTAGCATGTATAGGGATTTAAACAGGGGAGCTGTGTGTTGTCTGAAAGCAGAGTTTGTTATTGTCCTGATAGCATATTTTTGCTGGGTGATGATGGGCTTGAGGTAATTTGCAGAGGTTGAACCCCAAGCACAGATACAATAAGTAAGATAGGAATAGATAAGTGCATATTGGAGAGAGAGAGAGAGAGGAGAGAGCAGAGTAGGGTACAAAATATCTGATCTTAGAGAGTATACCAACTGTTTTAGAAATCTTTTTTGTTATGTATTGAATGTGGGTGCTGAAGTTGAGTGTCTTGTCTAGGTATAGGCCAAGGAACTTTCCATCATTTTTATTGCTAATGTTTACATTATCTATCTGGAGCTGAATTGCATTTATTGATTTGCTTCTAAATAAGATGTAGGTCTTTTCAATGTTTAGTGTGAATTTGTCGGTTGACATCCATAAGTGGACTTTTTTTAATTCATTGTTTACAACATTATTTAATATGAGTGGGTTGGGGTCAGAGTAGATGAGAGTAGTATCATCAGCAAACATTATAGGTTTAAGCACGTTAGAGACATTAGGCAAATCATTGATGTATGTAAGAAAAAGGAGGGGTCCTAGGATGCTGCCCTGTGGCACCCCTGCGGTTAGTGGTAGAGTGGGAGAGGTTATATCATTGATGGCTACATATTGGTGTGTCACTAAGATAGGATCGGATATAGTTCAGAGCAAGACCACGGATTCCATAATGGTGGAGTTTAAGTTAGAGGTAGTTATGGTTAATAGTATCAAAAACCTTTCTCAGGTATTTTGCAAATGATATTTAGCATTTAGGGACAGCATAACATGAAAAGAAGTAGGAGAAAATGAACAGGGGTTATTGTCAGGAGCATGCCTTTGTGGATCTTCTGTTAAAATTGTTATAAGTTTTTTGAGTTATGAACACTATGCCGTTGCAGCTTATTCTAATTTAAGCAATTTATAAAATTTTTAAATTGATCAAAGCTGAGTAGAGAAAGGGGCCTGCATATGGGAGGGGGATAGGGTGAAATGCCAATTTCTCACCCAGAAATTTGTGTTTCATTATATTCAACACAGTGTTTTTTTTCTATCAGGTATGCAATGTTGCTGTGGAATGGAATAATGTCCTCTCTGAAATTTTCTCACAAATTTATAATTATAATTTCTAAATCCATGTGTATGTGTGATGGAATATGTAGATTTTTCTTTCACATTTTATAGCTAAAAATGGTTTCTGTGACACAGCGTCAATTTGTGCGTGTGACAGCAGCAGAAAGCCTCAATGCAAGACCCACACACCCACTGCCAACACGGCAACTTCAGCTCAAGAGCTTAGGGTCAGATTCATTTGACGTTTTGATTATTGGAGGAGGCGCAACAGGGGCAGGTTGTGCCCTTGATTCTGTCTCCAGGGGACTAAAAACAGCTCTGGTGGAGATGGATGATTTTGCCTCGGGAACATCTTCAAGGTAAAGACTGTTCTTATTAGTTTAAATTACTTTTCTTGATAAATACTGTTCAGGTAAGGAAAAGCACTGCCAGACTTGAGGCTTTATTGATCAAATAATTACAATACAGTTACATCCTGCAATAATACAAACCATATAATATACAATACCTATATACAGTTTAAGCACTGTCTATTCACTATAACAATAAGCAAACTGCATATGGCTAAAGCTAGGACAAATAGAAATTAAGCTAGAAGTTAACATTCTACCAACCTGTACACAAGCACGACACGGCTGATCTGACGACCCAAACAATAACACAGTCAAGCGAGCATCCATCTGGTACAATACAATAGATCCACCCCCGATGCAATAGATATAACACTTTCACTATATTCATTCTGTCTAGCATTTAAGTAACATAGTCCCGAAGATTTGTAGGGGTACTGCGCGTCCTTCCAGATCGTCGAAGGGACTCCTGCAAAGTTGAAGAATCTAGTGTTCCAGTCGGTTCCTGCATACCACCTTCTCGAGGGAGTGTTACTTCAGAGAAAGGTTCCCAAGTAGGTGTTTCTAGGTTAGGTGGTTTGGGACGAAGTAGTTCAGGATGAGGTGGTTCAGAATGAGGCAGATTGGGGTTAACCCCATCTTTCGCAATCGCTGGGTGTTGCTGTTGAATGTTGAGATTGGAGTCCAAACTCTCGCAGCCCTCTGTGGCCATGGGTGCACGGTGTCTTAATGATACAGTAGTAATCTTGCCATCTAGAAACTTGACATGGGCGTGTTCCGGATTCACATCTACGACCTCAACCTCATCAACTAGAGGATCATTTTTGCTTTACCGCACCTGACATTTTAGGAGAACAGGGCCTTTGCAAGCAAGCCACGTAAGTAGTGTTCGCCCTGAAGTAGGCCTTCTTGTATGCTGCAAGAATTGTTCATGTGGTATTCAATTTGTAGAGGTGCACAACAGTGATCGAATACAGTGGAGTGCATCAGGAAGAACAACTTCCCATTGGGATACATCTAAGCCTCTCGTCCTAAGAGATAGCAGCACTGTCTTCCAAATAATCCCATTGTACTTCTCAGCCTGGACATTTCATCTTGGGTTGTAAGGAGTCATACGGTTTGTTGCTTCCCCTTTTTTTGAGTAGAAAATCATTCAACTCCTCAGACATAGAGGAGGTTCCCCCTATCAGAGTGTATATATGCAGGCATACCAAAGATTGCGAACAACTGCACCAGGCACTGAATTACTGTACCAGTAGTCATATCTGAGCAAGGGAATGCAAAAGATAATCTAGAGAATTCATCTACAACAGTAAGAATACAGTATATTTATTCCTTGAATGTGATGGAAGTGGTCCTTTAAAATCTATGTTGAGTCTTTCAAATGGCTGAGTAGCTTTAATCAAATGCCCATAGTCAAACTTGCAAAACCGAGGTTTAAGTTCAGAGCATGCAGAACAAAAATTAGTCATCTTCTTCACTTCTTCCACAGAATAAGGCAGATTTCGACATCGGACAAAATGAGCCATACGAGACACTCCAGGCATGACACAGAGTGTCATGCAATCCCTTAAGTTCATCCACACTGGTGGGACCACATACACGTGAGAATGCATCAGCGGGTATGTTCTTTTTACCTGGGCGATATACAATGTCATAGTGGTAACAGGAGAGTTCGACTCGCCATCTAGCAATTTTATCATATTTAATCTTACCAGCCGATTTAGAGTTAAACATAAAAGCAACACTACGCTGGTCAGTCACAAGCCGAAAATGGCATCCAATGAGATAGTGTCACCACTTCCTTAGGGCTTCCACAATGGCATACGCTTCCTTCTCCACTGATGAGTGCCTCTGTTCGCTATTTGAAAGTGTTCGGGAGAAGAAAGCTACTGGTTGCTCATTCTGGTCTAGGGTAGCGGCAATGGCATGATCTGAAGCATCAGTTTCCACAGCAAGAGGAGCTGTTGGGTCGATTGCTCGAACTACTGCCTCAGCAATGTCTCGTTTCAATCCTTTAAATGCTTTCGAAGCCACAGCAGATAAGGGAAAATCATTGGCATGAGAGAGAGGACAGATCTTCTCAGAAAACCCCAGCACCCAACAGGAGTAATGTTCATGCATTCTCATTGTTCTGCATAAAGAACCTGTGCTGCTTGGTAGTGGAAGTTTTAACAGTGGCTCGAGGCGTTCCCTGTCAGGTCTAATTTCTCCTTGTACAAGGTATCCCAGTAACTTTATAGACCAGAGTCGAAAACTACACTTTTCAAGATTCAGGGTCAGGTTATACCTTCTTGCAACGTCCATAAAACGTTTCAGATTTTTATCATGGTCTTCTTCAGAATCTCCACACACACACACAGACATCATCTACATAAGCAAAGGTACCCTCCACTCCTTCTTTCTCGAGGATGCCATCAATTACTGTATTCTTTGAAAACTGGCCACTCCATTAGTGACCCCAAAAGAGATACGATTAAATTCAAAAAGCTTTCCACAAGCTTTAAAGGCTGTATAGGGGTTTTCTTCGTCTGTTAGACCCACTTGATGGTAAGTCCTTCTCAAGTCTAGCGTGCTGTATACTTTAAATCTAGCAACATTATTCACAATCTCATCTGTGTGTGGTAAGAGGTAGGCATCCAGCCCCGTGAATCGGTTGATTGTTTGTGAATAATCTACAACCATTCTTTTCTTGTGATGTTCTCCTTTGGTTACTAATACCTGGGCTCTCCATGGAGAATTACTGGGTCTAATTATCTCTTCACGCAGCATCCGTGCGGTCTCAGATTCAATAAACATCTTGTCAGCCTCAGAATAGCATCTGGATTTTACAGCAATCGGCTTACAGTCTGGTGCTAAATTACTGAAGAGAGATGGAGCTGGAACTTTGACGGCAGCTAATCCACATATTCTAAGGGAAGGTCTTTCTCCTCTAAAAGCCATCTTGAGCACAGAATGATCTTGTAAAAATTTATGGCCCAAAATCATATCAGCACACAAATCGGGAGATTTGAGATTCTCACACTTTGAGATTCACACCATGGTAAGTTTCTCCTTGCAATTCTAAGTCTTCAGAACACTGAGCCAGGAATTTTGAAGAGAACGATACAGTAGCCATAGAAACTGCCCCATTGTCAGGATATACGAGTAACCCACTCTGCTCGGCAATATTCTCATGAATAAAGTTCTCAGAGCTACCAGTGTTTATCAGTGCACTAACTGGAATACCATTGATCTTAGAGCTAAGCACTGATATATTATATATTAAACAAAGTATTACTTTGTTGTTGTACTTACCTCAGTTGCATACAGTAAATTGTTGTCCTTACATCAGTTGCATACAGTACTTCATTCTCGCCACTTTTCCCACTCCATGTGTGGATTAGTGATTAGTTGTTCCACCTGCAGTATTGACATTTATTATTTCATTGACATCAATGAAAGGTGAAAGTACTAAAACTGTATTGTCATAAATACTCGTTAAACTTGTTACAACTCAAGCTCCAACAAACTACTGGAGTAATAATAACTGGAGTTTGTCACTATACAGTGGTTTTCTGTTCGAACACCTGTTTCCTACCATGTCTCATTTTAAAACCTTGACACTCAATCTGTCAATTGGCTCGCATGCAGGTTCCCATGCAATCACAGCAAAGAAGTAAAGTATTTTGCCTGACTGACCACAGACATTCGTGCCACCTCACAGCCCTAGTGAATTTTCTCAATAATAATAATAATAATTCATTGTGTCAGGGGGACAGGCAGCTAGTGTATATATATGCATGTGTTAGGCATATATTAAGGTCCCTTCAAGGTTGAATTACTGGTCCTCCCCAGGATGCAACCCTGCAACAAGCTTAATAATTCCTGGGTAATTTGCCACTAGGTGATAGAAAACACACCTAGCTATTTCTGTCCTGCCCAAGAATTCGACCAGAAATTCTCGATTGTGAGTCGAGAATGAACCCAAACTGTACGTTTGGGACCATACAGTTTATAGTTCTGATAGCAGATTTTTGCTGGGTGATGGTGGGCTTGAGGTAGTTTGCAGTGGTTGAACCCCATGCACAGATGTTGATTAGATATTTCATAGTTTATTGTTTAAACTGGTTGAGTGATATAGGTTTTTATTTCATTTGGGAGGCCACTTCATGATTTGGGACCCTTAATTTGCATAGCATTTTTGCTTTGGTTAAGTCTCACTCTAGGAATACAGGTATCAAATAAATATTTATCTCTTATGTGGTGCCCATGGATTCTGTTACAGCCCTCTAAGAAGCATTTGTTGCAGGATTAGCACTGCAATTCAGAGTTTTATAGATACAGAGCACACTTGAGAATGCATAAAATGACTGATTGAAATTTAACTTTCAGTAATTGTAGTAAGGCTGCCGAGTGATATCTGGGATTGGAATATGTTATCATTCTGATTGCTGAGTTATGTTGAGTAATAATAGGTCCTAAGTAATTTTAGGTTGTAGATCCCTAAGCACAGATGCATATGAGATATGAATAGATAAGTAAATAGTAGTTTTACCAAGGCAGAGCAAGGTATGTAGCATCGGATTTTACAGAGAATGCCTACTGTTTTAGAGACCTCTGGGGAAGCCCCCTTGTGGCTGCCTGAAGCTATCTCACTGAGATGACTCCCAACTGCTAGGTCACACCAACTGTGGAGTTCTGTTTGGCATACCGAGGACCAATCCAGAACCTGGTCAAGACGACCACTTCACCTCGTTGGGTATCTTGACTTTTCCTGGTCCCGAAACAGGACTCGGGTGAGCTCCGTTTCATCCTCAATCTTTTGGGGTTGAACATATTCATCCTGTGCCCCACTTGCTTCATGACTACTTTGGCACAGTTTTGTCTCCTGTTAGAGACTGGGGCTTGGATGATTCCTCTGGACCTCAAGAATGCTTATTGGTACATACCTATACATCTGAGGTTTAGAGATGGGTTCAGTTTTGTTGTGGCTTACCACTTCAGGGTTCTTTCCCCTTCAGTTTGAATCTGGCTTCCCTTATTGTCTCGGGTTGTGGTGACTCATTGTGGTTAGTTAGGGATTTGTGTTCTGACCTACCTTGACAACTGGCTGGTTTGGTTCCCCAGTCAATCTGTCTGCTAGTTAGGGATCTAGTTCTTCCTAGCTTGCTGGGTTTGGGTTCCTGATGACCTGATGAGAGTCCTGGTTGGTTCTGTCCCAGGTTTGAACTTGCATGGGCCTCTTATGGGACTCTCAGTCAACATTGCTTTCCCTTCCTCTGGTAGCTTTGCTCTGGCTGCAGCATCACCACCTTGTGGTGTTGAGGCTGCCCCCAGGTTACTCAGCAGTTGCTTAAGCATCTTTCAAGGAGTTTAAACTTTGCCTGCGTGGTTTTCCCACTGGGCAGGGTGTGGCATCTGGGGCATTCAGATCTCTTCGGTTCCTCACATTTTTCTGCTGTCGCAACCATTAGGCTCTGGTCCCAATTGGTCTCTTTTGACTGCTGCTTCACAGGGGTTCCTCTTTACATTTTCTGGGGTTTGGTTCCTTAACACCATCTTCCATTGCTTGGTGTGTTTACAGATGCATCACTTCTGGACTGGTGTTTTATGATGAGCTCTCGCCAGGCCTCTCAAGGCCGTTGGTCGGGTCGTTCTATCGGAACTATAGTTTGGTACACTAGTCTGTGGCTATGGACATGTCCTGAGGAGGATTTGGATTCTTCCAGCTTCGTTTGGAAGAATCCATTGTTCCCCAGTGGATCATTGCTTGAACTGAGGGGGGGTTCCCTTCATTCCATTGCCCTTTGAAGTTGAATGCTACAGGTAGCTCATCTACTCTCCCTTCATTGTTATTCTTTCATCTCTGTTAATATTGTGCTTTCATTACTCCCTTTGTTTTTTTCAACCGGCATCGTATGCCTAATGCTCTCACCTCTTATCATTCGGCGCTGGCAGAGCCGCTGCTGTTTGTGCTTGGAGTTGATTCAGTACTATTTTCGCTTCATTTTGGAAGCTGTCTCAAACATTGTTTCACCTCTAGCCTGCTCATGAGCTACCCAGAGCCCTCCTGATTTCTTGACCTTGTGCTTACCATTCTCTCTTCCCATCGGTTTATAGTTTCCCCTTTCGTCCATGATTCTGTAAAGCAGTTTTTCTGTTTGCTCTTGCCTCTGACTGTAGGGTCAGGGAGTTGCATGCTCTTCTCCAGAAGCAGGGTTTTTGCTCTTTTGGCACTGGTGAGCATTATGTTCATTTACAGTACAGAATTTAATTAATATTCCCGGGCCTCATCATGCTTGTGTTGACTTGAATCATTTCTCATCCTAAATAGCTGTGGTTTCTCGTCCTCTCTGGTAAGTTCCTTGTCTTTCTTTCCCATGGGTAGTTAGCTTCAGGGAGCCAGAAGAAGCTCCCCTCCCCATAAATCCAACATTGAATGTAATGAAACAGAACTTTCTGAATGAGCCCTGGTGGTTCCCTGATTCCCTCTCTTCCTTCCAAGCTCATCAGTTGATGTTTGTAGTCTTCACATCTGCTCCGAAACTGGCTTGGAAGGCTGGGGAGACCTGGAGCTCAGCCCCACCCTTATTGGAGGGGGATGAGTGCTAATGAGCTGGTTTTGAGACAGTTTATTGTTGGTTTAGATTGTTTGGAGAGTTTGTTTGGCATTTCGAGGCTTTAGTTCTTTTGAACCCAGCAGTGGTCTATATTGATTCGCTGACTTTCTGGATGCTTTCCCGGTGGGGTGGTGGAGTGTCACCTCTTTATGCACCTCTTTCTGGAGGAGCCCTTGTGGCTCCCTAAGGCTAAACAAAACATTGTGGCTGATGTGTCTTAGTAGATGGGAGCCATCTCAGTGAGATGACTTCAGGGAGCCACAAGGGCTCATCCAGAAAGAGGTATTTCATTACATTCAAAGCTGGATTTTTGTTATACGTTGCACCATGTAATGTTGCATCACATAGTGTCACAACATAGTGCTGCATCACATAGTGTCACAACATAGTGCTGCATCACATAGTGTCACAACATAGTGCAGCATCACATAGTGTCACAACATAGTGCAGCATCACATAGTGTCACAACATAGTGCAGCATCACATAATGTCACAACATAGTGCAGCATCACATAGTGTCACAACATAGTGCTGCATCACATAGTGTCACAACATAGTGCAGCATCACATAGTGTCACAACATAGTGCTGCATCACATAGTGTCACAACATAGTGCTGCATCACATAGTGTCACAACATAGTGCTGCATCACATAGTGTCACAACATAGTGCTGCATCACATAGTATCACAACATAGTGTAGCATCACATAGTGTCACAACATAGTGCTGCATCACATAGTATCACAACATAGTGTAGCATCACATAGTGTCACAACATAGTGCTGCATCACATAGTGTCACAACATAGTGTAGCATCACATAGTGTCACAACATAGTGCTGCATCACATAGTGTCACAACATAGTGCTGCATCACATAGTGTCACAACCCGAACACACCCTTTCTTGCCTTAATCATAACCAACAATGAAACTTTTCCTTAGACACTACTTATGTCTTAAATATAAATTCTTTTGTAGATAAATTGTATTATTAATTGTCTAATTAAATAGTTATATAATTTGTATGGCATAGTGTTACTACTTAGCATTTTCTTTCTTCAGGTCAACAAAGCTCATTCATGGTGGAGTTCGTTACCTGCAGAAAGCTATTCTGGGTTTAGACTTTGAGCAATACAAAATGGTGAAAGAAGCTCTCCATGAGAGAGCAAACTTGCTGGATATTGCTCCTCACTTATCCTATCCTCTGCCAATTATGCTGCCAGTGTATAAGTGGTGGCAGCTTCCCTACTACTGGCTGGGCATCAAGATGTATGATTTAGTTGCAGGGAGTAAATGTATCAAAAGTTCATATGCTATTAGTAAAGCTCGAGCATTGGAAGTTTTTCCTATGCTGAAGAAGGATAGATTGGTAGGAGCAATTGTTTACTATGATGGTCAGCACAATGATGCTAGAATGAATCTCTCCATAGCTCTTACAGCTACAAGGCTTGGTGCTACAATTGCCAATCACACGAGAGTTATAGCACTCTTAAAAGAAATAGATGAAAGTGGTCAAGAACGTATTTGTGGGGCAAGAGTCAAAGATGAATTAACTGGAAAAGAGCTGAGTGTTCGAGCAAAGTGTGTAATCAACGCCACCGGACCTTTCACTGACACCATCCGTAAAATGGAAAACCAAGAAACAAAGGAAATCTGTGCTCCTAGTATGGGTGTCCATATAACTCTTCCCGACTATTACTCACCAGAGCAGATGGGACTGCTAGACCCAAACACATCAGATGGAAGGGTTATCTTCTTCTTGCCATGGGAGGGGCGCACTATTGCAGGGACAACAGACACACCTTGCAGTGTCTCCCACACTCCCTCTCCTACTGAAGATGATATCCAGTTTATTCTTCGTGAAGTTAAGAACTACCTAAGTCCAGATGTTGAGGTTAGTAGCAACATTTTTTTTGCAGTATGGGGGAAGAAATCAAGTGCTAATAACAATGAAAAGTTGAAGCATCAAATAGCATACACCTGTACAATATTTTTTATATTAAAAGATCATTGGGTGATTTTTTGAAATCATACACAATAATGTAGCATCCTGTCAGATCCTATAAGGTTTTAGAGATGTCCTTTTGAAAGTGAAGTCTCTACTTGGATGCAGTAGTCCAGGTGGAGGCTCACAAGTGATTTGCACAGCTGAATAACCACTTCTGTTATTTTATAGTCACTAATTATGCACAGCATTTCAGGCACAACTTAAAATAATTTGTGAATTTAGTTTAAATTTATTGGGGTAACATTTGTCACGTGTTGCTCTCCTTGACCTTGTGTTACGTGGGCTACAGTAAAACAGTGGGGGATCATGCTACCGACCCTGTAACCCCACGCTGCGGATCTTTACTCCCTCTACTGGGGTACCATTTACCATCCCCCAGGGAGCTCTCCAAGTCATACCTTAAGTCCAGTCTCCACCACTTGAACTTGGATGCAAGGGGGAGAGGAGAAGGTCCAGTGCAAACTGCTTGAGCTTGATCCTGCAATGTGCGACTCCCCCCCCCCCACCAGGCCTGCCCACCTACACGTGCAAAGTTTTGCCGGACCTCCGGCCGTAACCTCAATTCTCACCTTCGTTTCTTGGTCGCCAGCTGGGTAATCCTCTCTGCGTCCCAGCAACGCTTTTATTTCAAATGTACTACTGTGTTGCCAGCCAAGGGTCTCTTTTCCATATAATACTAGTACTAGTGTGGTGCAAACTAATATCATTTATTCACAATGCTCAATGAGATGGAGGAGACACATAAAAGCACTAATAAAATAATAAAGTTTACTTAAGAGCAAACTACAAACACATGAGAGATATATATGCATGAATATTAAGGTAAATATAAATGATGGTGACAGTAGCACTCCTCTGGTGGCCGCTGGCAACTTGCATCAGCTGGTCGAGTTTAAAGGAATCGTTGACCCCTCACTTGGGGGTGACTCCGTCAGCGTAGCTCCATAGTCCTCCCGACTCCGCCACTCCCTATCTTCACCAGGCAGTAGATAACATATACGTGCTACCCTACAGTCTAATTTACTCCTATAATATCTAGAAACACTCTAAAAAGTACCTACATATATCACTAGGCCTATCTTGCCTAATGCCAAGGGAAAATGGGAGGGAATAATGATCTATCTTATATGTCCTGCCCTCAGACGCCTGGACTCTGATGATCATTGTGGTCCTCGGTCCCTCACGTCGTTCCTCAGCATTCCGGATGAGTTACCAATCCATAGGCATCGTGTAGCTGCGCATCTTTGCCATGCTCATTCCCAAATTGCAGTTCCTGGTTGCTGGCTCATCCAGTCGTCACTGCTCACTTTGTCTCCCTCAGTCGCCCCTTCACTGAGACCACATACTTGTGGATCTGGAAGCGACTTCTCCCTTTTGAGTTCCCAGTGGGCGTGATCCAATCACAGCAGCTCTGAGCACCATGGAGTTCCACTGATGGCGAGCCACTCACTACTCCTACGTCGTCACTCCCAACTCCTCCAAGACCATCAGCTCACAGTCCTCGGCGCCCTTACACTGCTGGAACTCGGCTTTCTCGCACTTCCCTGAAGTGTTGTAGTCTTCCGTAGTCACTGTGAAGATGTCAGGCTGCATTACTCCATTGAATGAGGTTCCTGGACCTCCAAACTCAAGAGCTCAACCAGCGCACGTCCGCTCTCAACAAAGCGCTGTGAATCTCTGAGGGCTCGGCGCTCTGCAAGCTCTGAGCCAGGCCTCCCAGTGATGTCACAGCCTCCAGGGGCAGACTCTCATTGGTCATTTTCGTCACGTGACCACAGCCAGCCAATCACCAGCCTGCTGACGACTATATGTTTTTGGCGCAATCCTAAAAAGGCCATCGCCATTTTGTATGCACTAGGGGCGTTAGCCTCCCTTACAAGCTAAACCTAAAATAACCATTTTATACCTGGTTGATACCTGGTTGATGGGGTTCTGGGAGTTCTTCTACTCCCCAAGCCCGGCCCGAGGCCAGGCTTGACTTGAGAGTTTGGTCCACTAGGCTGTTGCTTGGAGCGGCCCGCAGGCCCACATACCCACCACAGCCCGGTTGGTCCGGCACTTCTTGGAGGAATAAATCTAGTTTCCTCTTGAAGATTTTATACCCGAATAAGTATTCTTGGTAGCTATCACCTACATCAAACTGATCTGCAACTGCAACTCGGGGGAATCTGCAGGGTGTATAGATATGACTCTTAAGTTAGATAAGGGAAGATATAGGAGAGGGCACTGTAACAAACTTAATACTGTACAGTACTATACTGTAATGTAGTTGGGTTCATACTCGATTCTTGGTCAGGAATCCTGGGGGTTCAAATCCCGGGCAGGACAGTGATGATTGGGTATATTTCTTATTAACTAATGCCACTATTCATCTAGCAGTAAATAGGTACCTGGAAGTTATTCAGCTTATTGTTGGGTTGCATCCTGGGGAGGTCAGTATTTTGACTTTGGTGGAGACTGATATAAGGTAATATATATATATATACAGTATATATATATATATATATATATACACAGGCTGTATGTCCCTGACAAAATTAATTATTATTTATTAGTTATCCTTTGTCAGTTTTCTTCCAATTCAAATTAGTTGTTTATTGTTAATAATTTGCCGTCATAATTACGGATGTACAATACCCCCCCTTTTGTGATCCCTGATCATAAAGTCTGGACACAGACTTAGTAGATACCTAGTTCCCAAAACCAGTATACAGTATACCTAGTTCCCAAAACCAGTATACAGTATACCTAGTTCCCAAAACCAGTATACAGTATACCTAGTTTCCAAAATTCATTTCCAGTATTAATCCTAACTCTACTCCTTTTGCCAATTAGCTTCCCCCCCACCCTGGATATTATCTTCATAATTCATTCACTCAGAACCTAAGTTAGTAACACTAGTGAAATGCCAACCCAAATAAGTGCAGTGGAGTACCTGCTTGATACCTGCTTGATGGGGTTCTGGGAGTTCTTCTACTCCCCAAGTCACAGTCAAAATTTCAGATTTTATTCCTACGGTAGGACAGAAGCATTTGGGCAATGTTTCATTTCAAATTCAAATTCAAATTTCACCTGATACCACTGTTCACATAGCAGTAAACAGGTACCTGGAAGTTAGGCACCTGTTGTGGGTTGCATCCTGGGAAAGGTTAGTAGTTGCCCTAGGGGGGACCTTGTTAAACCTGCAAGGCTTCCTGTCCCTGAGTATGGACAACCATAAAGGGAACCAAGTACTTGCATCAGCTATAGTTCTGCTCTTCAACAAATATACTAAACAAAGAGTGAGAGTAACTCCAGTTCATAAAGATGGTGATATAGCAGACATAGACAATTACAGATCAAATACAAACCTACCAAATTAATTGTGAAGTGAATAGGTACAATTTTGTTAAGATATTGTAAATGAAGGTTTCATTTAAAAAAATTTTATATTAAGGCTAATATGCCTTTATACTTCTGATGCCATCAGGTTCGTCGTGGAGACGTCTTGTCAGCATGGGCTGGTATCCGACCTCTGGTTCAAGACCCCAACAAAACAGATACTCAGAGCATTGCAAGAAATCACATTGTTCATGTTAGTGATAATGGCCTGGTAACAGTTGCAGGGGGGAAATGGACAACATATCGATCAATGGCATTAGACACAATGAATGCAGCAATTAAAGGTTTGTTCTTATGTATATACTGTAATATTATTATTATATTAAATATATAATATATACATAATATTATACAGTGGGGCCTCGACTTACGATGCTAATCCGTTCCCAGAGACGGATCGTAAGTCCAAATATCGTAAGTCGAAGCGATTTTTCCCATAAGAAATAAAGGGAATTGAATTAATCCATTCCCCACCCTCCAAAATATTAACTTACAAATACGTTTTATACTGAATATAATTTTGTTCTCTAACTACAATACAGTACATATGTTTATCTTACCTTTATGGAGGACTCTAGATGGTGTATGGAAGATGGTGATGAGGGGGAAGGAGGAGAGGTATTACTGTTTGGAAGGGAAGTCCCATTCCATTATAACTTCAGGCAGTGATGACTTTTCTGGGATACACTCTCTGGCATGTTTTGCCTGCATACCACTAGGACCTGCTTGTGGCTCACTGCTTGTTTGTCTTACTAAGAATCTGTCTAAAAACACTTGTTTTTCACTACGTTTTAACACTTGTCTGTAGTAAGACATCACATTGTCATTTAAAAGGTCAATGCAACAGCCTGCTACAGCTTTATCTGGGTGAGTTTTTTCAACAAAACTTTGCAGTTCTTCCCATACTTCACACATTTTCTTCATGAGAAAGGGATATCCTCTACTGCCTCAACTCACAAATAGGTTCAACCTATTTTCTTAGGTTGAACCTTACCAATGAATTTCTTGCGACCTATGGCGTGATATATAATAATCAGTTTTAAGTTCAAAAAGCAAAAAATCACCACAAAAACGTAATTTCTTATAGGCGTGATCGTCACTAAGCAGGCAGCTCTAATAAACTGAGGCAGGTAGGCCTGCGTGTCTGGGAACCAAGCGCTCGGTTGACCCAAACGTGTACCACCAAATATCGTTAGTCAACAACACTATTGTAAGTTGAGTCACATTTTTCGATCAAATTTACATCATAACTCGAAATTATCGTAAGTCGGGGCAATCCTAAGTCGAGGTGCCACTGTCCACAATCCGTCTGGCACAGAGCTCGTCATGTGAAACGCTACGCTCGTCTTTTAAAACAAATTTCCCATTTGAAATAATGGGGAAAAAATTAATCCGTTCCACCACCGAAAAACATCAATATGATATTCAATTTATTTAAATAATGGAGCAGCCTACCTGACATACACTGAACGATCCTTTATGACATTTGTTCTTTTTTCAATTTTTTTTTTATTTGTTTCTTCTAATTTTGTCTAAAAACCAAAAATCAATCCTTTGCAACATTACAGCAGTCACCCCTTTACATCCATGCACCATTAGCAACTTTACAACAAATAAAACAGTTATTTTCATCACCAGAGGTGTCTAAGAATTTGCGAGAACCAGCGTGAACGCTAGGAAGCACCATGTGCTTTACTTGTTAATCAAGCGAAAGGTTGTCAATCAAGACAAATTGTCGCCGAGTGGTGCACTCGTTATTCGAAATGCTCCTAGATTGAGGCGCTAATCACTCGAGGTTCCACTGTTAATATATATAATATATATATTATATATATATACAGTATATATATAATATATACCACTGTATATGATACTGTATATATATATATACCACTGGTTCCACTGTATGTGTGTGTGTGTTTGTGTGTGTATATATGTCGTACCTAGTAGCCAGAACGCACTTCTCAGCCTCCTATGCAAGGCCCGATTTGCCTAATATGCCAAGTTTTCATGAATTAATGTTTTTTCGACTACCTAACCTACCTAACTTAACTTTTTCGGCTACCTAACCTAACCTAACCTATAAAGATAGGTTAGGTTAGGTTAGGAAGGGTTGGTTAGGTTAAGTCATATATCTACGTTAATTTTAACTCCAATAAAAAAATATTGACTTCATACATAATGAAATGGGTAGCTTTATCATTTCATAAGAAAAAAATTAGAGAAAATATATTAATTCGGGAAAACTTGGCTTATTAGGCAAATCGGGCCTTGCATAGTAGGCTGAGAAGTGCGTTCTGGCTACTAGTATGACATATATATATATATATATATATATATATATATATATATATATATATATATATATATATATATATATATTATATTATATTATATTATATTATATATATATATATATATATATATATATATATATATATATATATGTATGTATGTATATATATATATATATATATATATATATATATATATATATATATATATATATATATATATATATATATATATATATATATTATATATATATATATATATATATAATATATGTAAATTATGTAAAATAACTTCCAAATCACTGCAAATTCTCAATGTATACCTCAAGACAATAAATCAGTGGGTGGGTGATTCTATGGGTTTATTATGCTATGGATAAAAAAGCATCTTTTGTTATCTATCCTACATTATGACCTGTTTAACTCAAAGCTGATGCCCCCTTATGTGAATTACATTTGATTTTTTAATGAAGTGGTCAGGATTAATATCCCCCAATTTGTTCAGTATCTTATGAAAGCAGCCGAGGGTCGCATTAAGAAATGATGATTTCACTCTACTCAGCACTCTATTGTATTCTTTTTTTCTTTACAGCTTGTAATTTAACTCCCCTCCATCAAGAATCCCAGACAGATGGTCTTCTTTTGGAAGGAGCTCATCACTGGACTCCTACTATGTTTATCCGACTTGTACAAGACTTTGGTTTAGAATCGGAAGTAGCAAAGCACCTCGCTCACACGTATGGGGACAGAGCATTCAGCGTGGCCAAGCTTGCATCTTTAACTGGAAAGAGATGGCCCATTGGTAATTTTGTGGTGTGTGTGTGTGTGTGTGTGTGTGTACTCGCCTATTTGTACTCACCTATTTGTGCTTGCGGGGGATGAGCTTTGGGTCTTTGGTCCCACCTCTCAACTGTCAATCAACTGGTGTACAGATTCCTGAGCCTACTGGGCTCTATCATATCTACATTTGAAACTGTGTATGGAGTCAGCCTCCACCACATCACTACCTAATGCATTCCATCCGTTAACTACTCTGACACTGAAAAAGTTCCTTCTAACTTCCCTGTGGCTCACGTGAGTACTCAGTTTCCACCTGTGTCCCCTTGTTAGCGTACCACCAGTGTTGAATAGTTTATCCTTGTTTACCCGGTCGATTCCCCTGAGGATTTTGTAGGTTGTGATCATGTCTCCCCTTACTCCTCTGTCTTCCAGTGTCGTAAGGTGCATTTCCCGCAGCTTTTCCTCGTAACTCATGCCTCTTAGTTCTGGGACTAGTCTAGTGGCATACCTTTGAACTTTTTCCAGCTTCGTCTTGTGCTTGACAAGGTACAGGCTCCATGCTGGGGCCGCATACTCCAGGATTGGTCTTACATATGTGGTGTACAGATTCTGAATGATTCCTCACACAGGTTCCTGAACGCTGTTCCGATGCTAGCCAGCCTCGCATATGCCGCAGACTTTATTCTTTTTTATGTGGGTTTCAGGAGACAGGTTTGGTGTGATATCAACTCATAGATCTTTCTCTGTTTGTTTCATTAAATACTTATCTCCTATTCTGTATCCTGTGTTTGGCCTCCTGTTTCCACTGCCTAGTTTCATTACTTTGCATTTACTCGGGTTGAACTTCAACAGCCATTTGTTGAACCATTCATTCAGTCTGTCTAGGTCATCTTGTAGCCTCCTACTATCATCCTCTTGTTTCAATCCTCCTCATAATTTTTGCATCATCAGCAAACATTGAGAGAAACAAGTCTATACCCTCTGGGAGATCATTTACATGTATCAGAAACAATACAGATCCAAGGACTGACCCCTGCGGGACTCCACTTGTAACGTCTCGCCAATCTGAGACCTCACCCCTCACACTGACTCGTTGTCTCCTGTTGCTTAGGTACTCCTTTATCCAATGGAGTACCTTCCCTTTCACTCCAGCCTGCATCTCCAGCTTTTTTCACTAGCCTCTTGTGTGGTACTGTATCAAAGGCTTTCTGACTATCCAAAAATATGCAGTCTGCCCACCCTTCTCTTTCTTGCCTGATTTTTGTTGCCTGGTCGTAGAATTCAAGTAACCCTGTGAGGCAAGACTTGCCATCCCTAAACCCATGTTGATGCTGTGTTACAAAGTTCTTTCGCTCCAGATGTTCCACTAGCTTTCTTCGCACAAACTTCTCCATTAGCTTGCATAGTATGCAGGTTAGGGACACTGGCCTGTAGTTCAGTGCCTCCTGTCTATCCCCTTTCTTGTATATCGGGACTACATTAGTTGCTTTCCAAATTTCTGGCAGTTCACCTGTTGCCAGTGATTTGTTATACACTATGGAGAGTGGCAGGCACAGTTCTTCTGCTCCTTCCTTTAGTATCCAAGGGGAGATTCCATCTGGGCCTATAGCCTTTGTCACATCCAACTCTAGTAAACACTTCCTTACTTCCCCGCTGGTAATCTCAAACTCTTCCAGTGGTTCCTGGTTAACTATTCCCTCTCTTATCTCTGGAATTTCTCCTTGCTCTAAGGTGAAGACCTCCTGGAATTTCTTATTCAGTTCCTCACACACTTCCTTGTCGTTTGTAGTGAATCCTTCTGCCCTTATCCTTAATTTCATAACCTGTTCCTTTACTGTTGTTTTTCTCCTGATGTGGCTATGCAGCAATTTAGGCTGAGTCTTTGCCTTGCTTGCGATGTCATTTTCGTATTGTCTTTCTGCCTCTCTTCTCATCCTGACATATTCATTCCTGGCACTCTGGTATCTTTCTCTGCTCTCTAGTGTTGCTGTTATTCCTATAGTTTCTCCATGCCCTTTTACTTTGCTGCTTAGCTAGCCTACATCTCTGATTAAACTGTGGGTTTCTCATCTTCATTTCACTGTTTTCCTTTTGAACTGGGACAAACTTGTTTGCTGGTTCCTTGCACTTCTGTGTGATGTAGTCCATCATGTCGTGGGCCGTCTTTTCCCTGAGCTCTGTTTCTCATGCTATATCTGTTAGGAATTTTCTTACTTCCTCATAGTTTCCTTTTCGGTATGCCAACCTTTTGTTTTCAGTACCCCTCTTCGAGTTCAATAACCCTTCTTCAATCAGGTACTCAAACACCAGTACACTGTGGTCGCTCATTCCTACTGGGGCCTCAAAACCGATTTCTCTTATGTCAGAGTCGTTCAGAGTGAAGACTAGGTTGAGTCTCGCTGGTTCGTCATTTCCACTCATCCTTGTGGGTTCTCTGACATGCTGGATTAAAAAGTTTCTAGTCACCACCTCCAATAGTTTGGCTCTCCACGTATCTTTGCCTCCCTGCGGTTCCTTGTTCTCCCAGTCAGTCCTTCCATGATTGTGTGTGTGTGTATTCACCTAGTTGTGCTTGCGGGGGTTGAGTTCTGTTCTTTCAGCCCGCCTCTCAACTGTCAATCAACTGTGTGTGTGTGTGTGTGTAATTACCTAAGTGTAGTTACAGGATGAGAGCTACGCTCGTGGTGTCCCGTCTTCCCAGCACTCTTTGTCATATAACGCTTTGAAATTACTGACAGTTTTGGCCTCCACCACCTTCTCACCTAACTTGTTCCAACCGTCTACCACTCTGTTTGCGAAAGTGAATTTTCTTATATTTCTTCGTCATGTTTGTTTAGTCAGTTTAAATTTATGACCTCTTGTTCTTGAAGTTCCAGGTCTCAGGAAATCTTCCCTATCAATTTTATCAATTCCTGTTACTATTTTGTATGTAGTGATCATATCACCTCTTTTTCTTCTGTCTTCTAGTTTTGGCATATTTAATGCCTCTAACCTCTCCTCGTAGCTCTTGCCCTTCAGTTCTGGGAGCCACTTAGTAGCATGTCTTTGCACCTTTTCCAGTTTGTTGATGTGCTTCTTAAGATATGGGCACCACACAACCGCTACATATTCTAGCTTTGGCTTAACGAAAGTCGTGACTTTAAAGAGTAAAGACGTAATATTCTTAGTTCTTCGGCCTCACAAACATGGGGTCAAGGGTTTGAGTCTCCAAGAGCCCAGGTGAATGGAATTGTTAGTGTATGTGTGTGTGTGTGTGTATGTATATACAGTATGTGTGTGTGTGTGTGTATATATGTATATATATATTTATTTATTTATATAATTACTGTATTTATTTATGTAATTATTTTGTATCTTAACAAAGCTGTAAACCTAATACAGGTGGTACCACAGGAAAAATACAATATGCTTATACTGTAAAGTACTGCAGTTCATACTGTATGAATATTAATTTATTTGAATAATTATATGCATTGTTTTAATGTTTCTTCGCAGTTGGACGTCGTCTTCATAGTGAATTCCCATATATTGATGCAGAGGTTCGATATGCATGTCGTGAGTATGCTACCTCAGCCATTGATGTCATTGCCAGAAGACTTCGGCTAGCATTTCTCAATGCCCAAGCAGCAGAAGAAGCCTTGCCAACCATTGTTAGCATAATGGCAGAAGAATTGAAGTGGTCTGAAAGAGAAAAAAAGGTATAGTACCATACTTTATAGAACGTGATTAAAATATTAGAGGGCTTTGGCTTTGGTGAAGGTAGTTATTTAACTGTATAAATCTCTGGTATGCCCCCTAATTAGATTATTGTATCCAAGTATGGAGACCTCGCCTTCAGAAAGACATAGGTGCTTTGGAGAAAGTTCAACACCGAGCAACAAAAATCATTCTAGAACTAAGTCAACTCATATTATAGGAATGCTTGAGGGTTACAGGGCTAACATCACTGCAAACCAGACATAACAAAGCTGATCTCATCGAAACCTTTAAAATAACGAACAATCTGGAGGCTGTTGATCCAGACAACTTCTTTAAAAGGTCAGATGAAACACAAAAGATTAACAATGGGTTCAATGTATGTGTGTGTGTGTGTGTGTGTATATATATATATGTATATATATATATATATATATATATATATATATATATATATATATATATATATATATATATATATATATATATATATATATATATATATATATATATATATATATATATATATATATATATATATATATATATAATATACACATACATACATACACATACATACATACACATACATACATACATACATACATACATACATACATACGCGTACGGGCTGACCTAGCGCATGGTGGCATGGCGAGCGCCCCACAGATTACCAGTACCTCACGCCCAGTGACTATCCCGCCTGAATTCTTCACCAGGATTTAGTGTTTTGTTGGATATTTGGCCATTTGAACATAAAAGTTGTTATTATATATCTCGCAATGGGTCCCAAGAAAGCCAGTGGTAAGGTTCAACCTAAGAAAATAGTTGTGAGTAGAGGAAGTAGAGGATGTTCCTTCCTCATTAAGAAAATGTGTGAAGTATGAGAAGAACTGCAGAATTTTGTTGAAAAAACTCACCCAGATAAAGCTGCAGCACGCCATTTCATTGACATTTTAAATGACAATGTGATATCTTACTACAGACAAGTTTTGCAAAGAAGGGAAAAACAATCTTCAATGGATTGTTTCGTTGTGAGAAAATCAAGCAGTGAGCCACAACCAGGACCTAGTGGTATGCAGGCAAAACATGCCAGAGAATGCACTCCAGAAAAATCTTTAGTTTCTGATGTTATAATGGAAGGGGACTCCCCTTCCAAACAGTAACACCTCTCCTCCTTCCCCCTCCTCACCATTTTCCATATGCCAACAGCAGTCATCAGCAAGGGTAAGTAATAACTTGAACATATTTTTGTAGTGTAGATTTCGATGAATTAGGTACAGTATAAAATTTAGTTTGAAATGAGGTTTTTGGGTAGTCAGGAACAGAGTAATTTATTTCCCATTATTTCTTGTGGGGAAATTAGCTTCGGTGACACTATATATGACACTATCAGACCACGGAAGAAGAATTTAAACAGGAATTTCTTTAATACTTTCATATTTATTAATACTGTACATCTTCAGAAGAATGATTATTAAATACAAAAGTACTTGAGGAAATTCCTGTTTCAATTCTTCCTCCGTGGTCTGACACTGTCACATTTTTCATCACGTGTTAATTTTCGTGATTTACACACACATGTGTGTATGTGTATAAAGTATATGTGGATGCTGGTCAGAATTACATTTCACCTTTGTAAATGTACATTAATGACACTATGTAAAAGACACATCGAACACTTTATGTAAGGCAGACGTAACTCTGTGTATCTATGTATCTGTCTGTAGGTCAGATTAACATTTTCATAAATCCATGAACTATATGCTAAACAAATCTCTCACCCTGTCTGGGGCCTGTGGAGCTCCCACTTCCCCCTCCCGGGGAGGAGGGGTCGAGCAGACAGCGGCGCGGCAACGTGATGACGTCATGCTCGTTTGCTAGTTTTCGTTTGAGTTCTGTCCGCTTGTTCAGCTTTCGGTAGCAGTATTTTCACCAGAATAGGGGTTTGTTTTGGGGCGCCTACCTTTCTGGGTGCCATACCCAGTCGATGGCAGACATAGAATGCTCTCAGCCACACGGGGGTTTCTATAGGCCATTGCTCCTTGTGTCTTTCTGAGGGGGAGGGCAGATTCTGGCTCATGGTCCCTGGTAGACAAGAACTCCATGCACATTGACTGATGCCAGAAAGCTACTAATATCCATATCAGCCTAAATAGCTCCGGGGAGCCGATGGTGCTCCCCCCAGAAATTATATATAAAAAATATATATTTTTTTTTATATAAAAACTGTACGATAGTTTAGTTCATTTATTATGCACCCCACACCCATCTTGTGGGCAGTAGTAGAAAGGGTTACAGAGGCACATAATGGGCTCAGGGACTGAACCCCACAATTCATTTAGTTAAGCAAGTTACAATCTTGATGAACTAGTTACAAAATTCATTATAAGTCGTCACATCATCAATGGGTTCGAGATCGACCACAATTACAGTTTCTAAATTAAGCAACTGACATATGAGGAGAGCTAGTGTCACAATTGATATGTTTGCCTTGCACACCGCTCCCCATCCAGTGGGCAGCAGTGGATAGGTTACAATCACTTAGTTACTACCTACAGTTAGCAAACTGGGGATATTTGGTTAAAATTTATAGTAGCAGATCATTTTGAATTAAATACAGTATTTACACATCACTGGAACATTTGTTATAGAATTATCTCTGAATTCACATATCTTTTCGCACTCCATCACATAGTGCAATAATAACTAAATTGGCAAATGATGATAACCACATTTGATTTAGAGCTCAACATGACAATAATTGACTTTTTAATTATAAACTTGTTTTTGAAATTGCAGAGTCAGCTAGAAGCTGCTGTGAAGTACCTACAGCAAGAGATGGGCCAGAATGTAAATCGTGCATCACGAGAGAGGATCCCAATCAATCTCACTAAGAGTGAGATCTCTGAGTATGTGAAACGCTTCAACTCTCTTGACACTGACAAGAAAGGCTACATTTCTCTTAATGATCTTCGTGCATCGCTCAAGGTATGATGATCATATAGCTTGTGTGTTCATTCTTTATCATTTAAGTTATACTGTATAGAGAACGTTTTTATAATTTAATATTACTATATTATATTTATCATATACAGTATTCAAACATTTTTATACAGTAATTCATTTGGAGAAATATTTAACAGATATTTAATTTGTCATTTGTGTTATAGTTAGTGTTTGATTTCTTTCAATATTTTTTATTAAATAACAAATCTTTATACTTTAATTTGAATGTGTAATAACAGTAAATTATACTTTAATCAGCCAATGAGTTTGTGCCCATAAATGCTGCCTTCTTGAGGTTATCTTGAGATGATTTCGGGGCTTTTTAGTGTCCCCGCGGCCCGGTCCTTGACCAGGCCTCCACCCCCAGGAAGCAGCCCGTGACAGCTGACTAACACCCAGGTACCTATTTTACTGCTAGGTAACAGGGGCATAGGGTGAAAGAAACTCTGCCCAATGTTTCTCGCCAGCGCCTGGGATCGAACCCAGGACCACAGGATCACAAGTCCAGCGTGCTGTCCGCTCGGCCGACCAAGCCCTTCTTCAGAGTTCTATTTACATACAGAAATTCACATTCTCATTCATGAGTTAAACAAAATATGTGTACTGTACTGCTATTCCCTCAGGTAAATAATTAAAATATTGTTTAACCTAATTTTCATAATATATTTTTTTTTTTGTATATATAATATATAAGTGGTGATAATATGAAATTATATTGATGTAGTTGCATGTCTAGATAGTAAACTATTAGGTAAGTTAGTAGCACAAGGTGGGATTACTATGGTGATTAATTAGGTACTTCATTGTTCTACTATTGAAAAAGTATAGGTTGAAATTTTTTTTACTTCATTAGGAAGGGAGTTCCATATATGGGTCCCTGTATTTGTATGGTGTGTTTATATTGACTTTCACTGACTCCGTAGCACTTTAAGGCCCCTGCAGGGAATATTTAAGATGTACCCCCTTGGCTAATATGTCATCCTGCCTGACTGTTCATGTACAAATTCAAGGACTGTGGAACTTACCACTGGAAGGAGCTGAATGGATCACTCGAAAAAGGTGTTTTTCATATACAGTGTTGTATGCAAAGTTTGAGTTTCCAGTTACTGTGTTAGTTTGAAGTACTGTATAAATATTCTGACTGTTTATACTTCCTAAATATTTAGAGTGACGGAGAGAGGATTAGTCTTGACCATCTTCACTACATTTTGAATGAGGTTGATGTCCACAAACATGGTCAAGTTGAGTTTCCAGACTTTATCCAGGTAAAGAACAGATATTAAAAGAAAATTTGAGGATTCAGGATTATTATTTGATGTATGTTATTTTATAAAACATTTTATTTTAAAATTCTCATTCCCATTGAATAGGAGTACAGGTAGAGTATATCCTGTGGCAATGGCTTTAGTAATTCTAAAGTCATATGAGAATATGTGCCAAAATATTATACTATCTAAATAATTGGTAAAAATCTTACATTTTTAGAGCACTTATAATTAATACTGTACTTATAGATCATAAGATTGGTGAGTCATAGCATCCTTAACATGATGTGAGAAATAGGCAATCTGCTTCAGCGCTGTCTACTTGTTGGCCATGTTTCTTGTTACTTCATAGCATCAGATAGCTAATGACTTGAAAACGATCTCTTCCATTCTTTCTAAAGTATTATATCAGGTGTAATGAAAACTATAGAACTATCCTAATTTTGATGGTTTTGGTGGGCAGGCTGTTTCATAGACTTATTTTCATTTTGAGAAGAAGCATTACTCAGCAGCAGTACCTTAACCAATGGGCTTGTGAGGTTAATATCAGCAAAGCAACAAATTTATTGGAGTTAGTTTTTGTCGTAGTCATTGTTTATATAGGATCAACATTGCAATTGTGATCCATACAGCTGTCTGTTTCAATGTGTTTTGCCTTCATGGGAGGTCTTTCAATTGGTTACTGTGATGTTCTCGATCCCCCAGACTCCCCTCCCCTCTATTGAGTGGAGCAGATTCTGGTACTGGTTTCCGGTAGGCGATAATGAATTGACAGAGCCTGGTGTTGGAGATTTCAATCTACCCAGTTTAAGATGGAGAATGGCAAACAATAATATCATAGCAGGAAGCCAACCAGGAAATAATCAACTGCAGGTCAGAGAACTGATGAGATTGTGACAAATTCTCACTCAACCAACAAATTACAGAACCAACTATGAACGAAAACACACCACACATGATCTTCAGAAACAATGATGAACTAATCAGAGACATTACAATCTCAGATACTACATACTCAGACCACAAATGCATTGAAGTGCAAACTAACATTAATAATGGTAGTACAGTAAGTCCAAGAGAATCAACAAGCGAGAAGGGTTATTCAATTTCAACAATATGAGCATCGACTGAGAAAAAAATAAATATAGACCTTGCAACCATTCAATAGGAGACAGTTTTAAGTGACAAAACTCCCACACAGGTGCAAAGGCACGCTACAAAATGGCTTCTGAAACTGAAAAAATAAGAGTTACGAGGAGAGGCTAGAGGCATTAAATATGCCAAAACTAGAAGATAAAAGAAAAAGAGGTGATATAATCACTTACAAAATAATAAAAGGAATTGACCAAATTGACAAAGAGGAATTCTTGAAACCTGGAACTTCAAGAACAAAAGGACACTGATTCAAGGTAAACAAAGGTGCCAAAATAATATTAGAAAGTTCTCTTTTGCAAATAGAGTGGTAGACAGTTGGAACAAGTTAAGTGAGAAGGTGGTGGAGGCCAAAACCGTCAGTATTGTAGTTTCAAAGCATTATATGACAAAGAGTACTGGAAAGACAGGACACCACGAAGATAGCTCTCATCCTGTAACTACACTTCAGTAATTACAGGGAATAGGATAACTGACAGCTAAAGCATATAAGCTCTGCTTGAAGCATGTGCCTGTGATGAGGGGTCAGAAAGAGGACCACTCTAGAAAGAGAATGCAGACGACTGTCAGGGACAGGGAAAAAAATAACGGAAATCCTTAAACAGAAACGACTTTCACGAGTCTGAGGAAATGGAATTGGAACAGAAAGCTATACAAGAGATAAAGAAAAATACAAAATATTTTTCACATATGCAAAATAAAAATAAAAACCTCCACCAGTATTGGACCTTTGATTACAACTGAAGGTTCGTACACAGTGGACAGCAAAGAAATTAGTGAAATTCTAAAAGGCCAGTATGATGCTATGTTTGTGCTGGTATACAGGAGATACCTGTACCAGCACACTTATTCCAGCAGATATAGCTCCTCTCCACAACGGAAATAGTAAAGCTTTGGCAAACAATTATAGACCAGTTGCACTAATATCACACATAATAAAAGTTTTTGAAAGAGTGATTAGGAAAAAAAAAAAAGTGAGATTAGGAGTGAAAAACATTTCTTATGTTTTCCACAAAACAATAAACTTCACAACCCAGGACAACATGTATTTAGAGCAGTAAGATCCTGTCTGTCACAGTTACTCAACCACTATGACAAAATCACAGAAACCTTAGAAAAACAAAATGCAGATGTTGTATACACAGATTTTGCAAAGGCATTCAACAAATGTGACCATAGGGTGATAGTTCATAAAATGAGATCATTAGGAATAACAGGTAAAGTGGGGCATTGGATTATCAACTTTCAAATAGAATGCAGAGAGTGACTATCAGTCAAATAAGATCAAGCCCAAGTGCAGTGAAAAGCTCTGTACTCCAGGGCACAGTCCTTGCACCACTGCTATTTCTCATTCTTATCTCGGATATAGATAAAAATACTAATCACAGCTTTGTGCCATCCTTTGCTGATGATACAAAAATCAGCATGAAAATTGCCTCTGTAGAAGACACTGAAAAACTACAGGCAGATATTAATAAAGTCTTTGATTAGGCAACTGAAAATAACATGATGTTTAATGGGGATAAGTTTCAAGTGCTGTACTTAGGTACTTACCTAATTGTGCTTGCGGGGGTTGAGCTCTGGCTCTTTGGTCCCGCCTCTCAACCGTCAATCAACAGGTGTACAGGTTCCTGAGCCTATTGGGCGCTATCATATCTACACTTGAAGCTGTGTATAGAGTCAGCCTCCACCACATCACTTCCTAATGCATTCCATTTGTCTACTACTCTGACCATTTAGGTATGGTGGAAACCAGGAACTTAAACAAAACACGGGATTCAGGACACAATCAGACCTACTGATAGAAGGAAAGCAACATGTAAAAGATCTGGGAATTATAATGTCTGATGACCTGACATTTAATGAACATAACCTAGCACATATAGCAGCGACCAGAAAGATGATAGGGTGAATTATGAGAACGTTCAAAACAAGAGACTCCATAGCAATACTAATACTATTTAAATCACTGGTGCTGTCCCATCTTGAGAATTGCTCGGTACTCACTTCCCCTTTGAGAGCAGGAGAGAACTCTGAATTAGAGGGATTACAGAGAACCTATACAGCATGTATAGAAACGATAAAACATTTAAATTACAGTATTGGGACTGTCTCAAAATGTACTCTCTGGAAAAAACACAAAATGTTATCAAATAATATATACATGAAAGATACTGGAAGGCCAGGTCCCAAATTTGCGTAGTAGATTAACAACAGAAATGCAGAATAGACCCAGTGAGGAGTAGAGGTCCCATAGGCACAACCAGAGAGCACTGTCTGAACATCAGGGGTCCATAGCTGTTCAACACCCTCCCAGCAAGCATTAGAAATATTGACGGAACAAAGGTGGATGTATTCAAGAAGCACTTAGACAAGTTCTTGCAAGAAGTGCCAGACCAACCAGGCTTTAGTGGATATATGGGTCTGTGAGCCGCTCCAAGCAACAGCCAGTTGGACCAAGTTATCACAAGTCGAGCCTGGCTGCAGGCCAGGCTTGGGGAGTAGAACTCCTGAGACCCTCTCCAAGTATGCTCCAGATGTGGGGCTGAGGGGTGTAACAGGTATACCAGTGTGTAACTCTGGGAGTTACCGAGGGGGTACCATTGGGGGAAAGACCAAATTATGATTTGATAATACTCGCAGGTCACTAGTCCTAAGCAATTAAAAAACTTTTTTTGTGGGTCTTGGTTAACTCCATTATATTCAAATAAATGTATTAGATATAACCATATTCATATCATTGGTATAAATAACAAGCAATAATGGCTAAACATCAAATGATGATAATCACATTAGGGTTTAATGCCAGGGTTTAACAAATGAGAACCAATCTTTGCAGGTAAAAAAAAAATGCTTGCTGCATTCCTAAGTGTTATTTATTATGTTGTCTTGGAGCCAGTACGCAGTCAAAATATCCATTGTCTATCTGTTGACGATTTTGGGGATCAGTGTCCCCACGGCCCAGTCTCTGACCAGGCCTCCTGGTTGCTGGTTTTATAAATCAGGTTGATCCTGGTTTTAATTTGTGTGCAGAAGGGAAATGTTTAGGCCCATTTCTTTTCACCTGATGTGTCTGTTCACATAATAGTAAATACTGTAAGTACCTGGGAGTTGGTTAAATGTATTGGTTTCTTCCTGACACAGGTCAATAGTTGGCCTAGGGGTCCCCAATAATACTAATTGGATTCCTGCCCGTGACAATAGGAAACCAAGTTATATAATGTGTGCTTATGGGAACATTTTTTGCTCTATGGAATTTTTATCTATGGACAGCTTTATGCAAACAAATCTGTTGCATCTATTAAGTGATACCTGTACAGTACTGGTACTGTATTTCCACAGAATTTTCAAAGGACACTACAAAAAGCAAAAGTAATTAGTGAGATAAAATATATCTTCCTAACTTACCATTACTGTACTGTACCTAAATTTACATCCGTTTTATCACCTTTCTATCTTAAGGCATTTCTTACCAACTACTTTCCTTTACATGCTTCTCAGTAAATTGGTTATCAACAAGTGATGGGAGTCATGTTGCCTGTATTAAGATATAGCATATCCATCAAGTGATTGAATGTCTTAAGTTCATGTTGGGATGCTCTCTAACTACAGGCAAGAGATCAAGAAGTTCCTGGAGAAACTCTCCACGAGATACTGAAGGAAATCGACCTTAATCTCAATGGGCAGGTGGAGTTTGATGAATACCTACAGGTGAATATTTTAATCACAGCAAGTCATGTGTACAATAATCCTCAATTGTTTTGCATGGTTTAACCTTTAATTAAAATACTGTACTTTAGTAGAGTACCCGTGAACTTTACATTCTAGTTTATAGTTTTTATTCCATTTAATTAATAGTATTCTATTTATATATTTGTGAGTAATGTATTCTGCCACTTTCTATGTAGGAATTCTGGTCATGCCTACTAATAGATTATAGGGCCATAATAGGTATAGGAACTGTTGAAGTCGATAATTATCAGCCGGTATATATATCAGGTCTCAAACAGTCTGTGGAGCTTTGATGACATCACTCATCACCACCAGTAGTGATCAGCTGAGCAAGACTCTTACTGAGCTTTCTCACCAAGCTTGTTTTGTTAGCTCAAACCCGGGTGCACTGGCCCCATGGTAGTCAAGTTGACCTTGGGTGGGTACTTGACACACATGCACATAACAGCTCTTTCCACCTCATGAAACCATGAGAGCTCAAACTTTAGGGTACCTGTGCCCAGAACAGGACAAACTTTCGACATCTGATCACATTGAGGGAGAGGGTGGGGGGTTGTGGGTGCTATAGTAAAAGAAGCAAACCAAACCTTAGGTATACTCAAACGATCCTTTGATTTCAAGGAAAAGAAAATAGTTAACTCTGGTATGCCCCCATATTGGACTGGTATGCCCCCTATACAGGTATGGATCCCCATACCTGTATCCAGGTATGGAGAGCTCACCTTCAAAAGGACATATTTACAGTAGAGAAGGTTTAACACCCAGTGACAAAAATCATCCCAGAACGTAGTCGACTCATTCCAGGAATGATTGTGAGCCACAGGATTAATACAGTAGAACGTCGAGTGACGACCGCCTCAAATGACAAATGAAAAAAAAAAATTAAACAAATTTGAAGAAAGAAAAATGTCGTAAAGGTTTGTTCAGTGAATGTAAGGTAAGCTGCTCCATTATTTAAAACATCAAATATCATATTGATGTTTTTCGGTGGTAGAACGGATTAATTTGATTTCCATTATTGTCAATGGGGACATTCGTTTTGTATGACGTCCGTTTCACATGACTATCATGGCGCCGGAACGGATTAAATTCGTTATCTGAGGTACCACTGTAGTACTGCAAACCAGCTTTCTCCCAACTTTGCAGGGGAAATGGTGTGCGGTACAGGATGGACATAGGCTGGTTGAGGATGCCAGAATTCAAGAGGGAACAGCATGTCAGGGTCACATTCTGACCCTTTATGATGATTATTGGTACTGCCCACAGGCTACACTTAGCTAAATCTTTTGAAAACAAAAATTTCAAAATAAATTTTTTCTTATAGTAATATACAGTACACCCTTACTCACTGATCTCAGGAAAATTAACATCAATTTTATGCTGTTCGTACTTTGGTCATAGTAGCATAAAACAGATGATCCTCCCACAGCTTCAAAGGCTTTCACAATCCCCCAACCCTTTCTCAAAGCAAACAGGAAGCTACAGTATTATATTTTTAACATTTCACTGCTAAGCTCTTTCTATTGGCAGACCACCCACATGTCAGTGGAAGACTCACTAGTTTTATCAGAGAGACAGACAGATACAAAAACAGAGATAGGAAGAGAAGGAAAAGAGAGAAGGGGGGGAATATTTGACAAGAGGGAATGAGAGATGGTGGGAAGACAGGTGGAGAGGGTAGAAAGGTGGAGAGGGTAGAAAGGTGGAGAGGGTTGAAGAGAGAAAGGAAAGGAGTGAGATGAGAAGGGACAAAGTTGGATAGAGTTGAGATGTGAAGAAAAGGGGGATAGGGAAAGAGAGATGAGATGAGAGAGGGTAAGGTTTGGAAAGAGGGGGGATGGGAATAGGGGAAGAGAGACCTGGGCACAGCTAGTTACCCCCCCCCCCAACCCCCCACCCCACCACCACCTCTAGTAGGGTTATAAACCCATGGAATCACTTACCTGCCAAAACTGTAATTGTCAAATCATTACTTCAGGAACAATGGAAGGACTTTTCACAAGTTGCTGGCTTCCTGACCTCATCGGGTCAGGAAACAGGCAAACTCGGGATTAGTTTGGTGTCTTCACTAGGCCTCAATGTAGCAGCTGTATGTGTCCAGTCTCCTGTTCTTCTGCTGGGAGTACTATATATAGGGTGTGTGGCAGAATATATATCTCAGAAAATATACTTTTAAGCCAATGAAAGGTAATTTTCATAACTGTCTTTTGTTCTACAACTCTAATCCTCTTTTTCCTCTCTTATTTTTCTTCCCTGTGCTTCCTCTAACTTAACATTAATGAAGGATTGTCAGTAACCTGTCAACACAGGGGGTGCCCTCTATAGGTCATCAGAAGACAATTAAGAGCTGTGATTGGCAGATACTGCTAGATACTCCTACTGGGTGACTGATCAATGGTAGTGGCAATCCGTGATATTGAAGCTCCACACACTTTACTGTTCAGAACACATTTCTCTCTCTGATTGTATTTGCTTGAAAAGCTTCCAAATTTATTATGGTTCTGTAGGAAAAAATTTCCAATGATATTGGGACTAATTCAATAATTTACCTGTAATACTATAAAAACTTGAATTACTACAAAGATCCAGCATTGATTATACAGTAATGAAAGGCAGGTAAATTCAAGAAACGCCTTCTTTTGGGTCCCTTGGTGGCTCTCCAAGCTACCCACTAACTGGTAGTAAGCTCCAATTCTTGAGTATCACACCAATCTCTTAAGATTCATGAGTGCCCACCAGAAGCCCCGTAACAAAATCTAGCCCCCCCCCCCCTCAATGTAGGCAAGGGGAGTTTGGATGGTACTCGATCACTACAATAATCCGAAGGAAAAAGCACCATGATGGTAGAACACAGCTAAACAATCAATGGCATGGACAACATTGCTAACCTTGACACAAATATTCACACGCTTGTCAGCGATACGTAATCTTTATAGTTATTCAGATGCCTGGTGCTTTTGGTTATATCACAGTTTTAGGCTCAGTCTTCAGCTAAGTGTTGGCTTTCCTTTGGACTCTGGTCTGTGTGCAGTGGCTTGTGTTTGTGTTCTATTTTTTTAGGTTTCACATGAATGTATTTTGACCTTCCTATTGTGTATGCCATTTCCCCTGCCTTCACCCCAGGTTATCTTGCTTGAGAAAGTTAAGGAATCTGCTCCTGGGGTTACCTTCACTCATGGGGCTCTGCCTCAGGGTGTGCATGTGCTTTGGCTACTCTGTGAGTGCCAGTTGTTTGAGAGAGCAGTAGTTAACTTCTTTTAAATAAATTATTTACCCCAAGTAAACAAGGCAAACAATTGTTGCCATGGGGCAAATACATTGACTGAGACAACTGACTGCCACCAAAAGACAACCCAGATCACTTTGGGTCCTAACCAGCTTGCTCCTCCCCTCACTCTGCCACCTGATACCAACAGCTCTTGTTTCCATGTCAGTTATCAGCACTTGACTATGATTTTCACCAAGATATCTTGTGTGGGTGTGTATCCAACCCATTCTCTTACAGATAACATCGCTTTAGAATAGAATTACATCGAATTACATCGCAGTAATAGGATTTAGGCCTCCTCTATCAAGGCCCAATGTGAGTAAACTCAGTGAGCTGCAGATGGTCACTCACAAATGAAACATTAATTGTAATGAAACGCCATTTTCTGGTGGGCCCCTAGTCGAGTCTTGTCTGTTACCTCCTTACTTATTGAGTTATGAGATTTCACACAAGCAGCTTCTGAATGAGAAGACAGGCTGGCTGAGACCACAGGTGACCTGGGCTACCATTTAGTGGCAGTCAGGTTTATTACAGTTAGGGTACTTCATGGCAACAATAATCTGCTTTGATTACCTAGAGGAGCCTAATTTCTTTGAAGCACTCACTTGTATTTTGTCTTTTTCTGGTGGGGTTTTCCCAGTTCCGGGTTGATCTCTGATTGCCTTGTAGAGTGAGCTAGATTCTGGTCCAGACTTCCATAAGTGATGAGTCTGGGAGGTGTGGCATGTTGAGCTAAGGTTGGTAGTTTCAGAGTTAAACTTGGGAAGCTACTGAGGTCATACCAGAAAAGGATGTTTTGTTACATTCAAGACTTGCACACAAAAATCACAATTGCGTGATGCATCAAATGAACAAATCCACAAGGTCCCTGACGAGGATTCGAACCTGCGTCCAAGAGCATCCCAGACGCTGCCTTCGTCTGGGCAGTGAAGCATTAATGGGCAGCATTAAGGCAGCGTCTGGGATACTCTCGGACGCAGGTTCGAATCCTCGTCACGGCCCTTGTGGATTTGTTCAATCAAGACTTAATTTTCCAAGCAAATTCTAGTTTAATTCTCTAGTCTAAACGACACATATCGTAATTATTAGTTATGTTTATTCTAATGTTTCAGTGGTAAGATCCTATATTCATTATTGTTAAGGATGAGCTATGCTACACCTTCTTGAATACTTTGTTTATACTTAGTTTTAATGTATGAAAATTTATGTGTGCTTGTACCCTATTAATGGGAAACATTCTCATCAAGAACTTAAACTTCTTCCTTCTAGTGTTGCACAAGGAGGCCTCAAATTAGAAAATCAGTAGGAGCAATGAGGAGGATTTGAACCTGCACTCTGGGTACTCCTATGCACACACCTTACACTCCTATATCACAACATGGTCGAAAGCAATGCAACTGGGATTCAACGGAACCCTTTAGGAGTTCTGAAGGGGTTCTACTGAAGCCTAATCAGGGTTTCACGTATTGCCCCATGCACTCTGGATGTGGTCTTGGAGTTCCACCTCTAATGCTTCTATTTAAATGAGAAAAGAAATTGCATTAATGTGATGTATCAATGAGAAGGAAGCCTAAGGACCCCTAGAGGATTCAGTTGAATCCCAGGTTGCATTGCTTTTGACCATGTCATGGTGTAGTGGTCTAAGGCATATGCATGGGAGTATCCAGAGTGCAGACTCAAATCCTCCTCATTGATCCTACTGTTTTTTTTTTTCATTGATATGTCATGTTAATGTGATTTCTTTGTGCAAGGCTGTAAGTTGTTATAGAGTTGCAGAAATGAGTTCTCATTCACATACTGTGTGTGTAATTACACACACAGTACATGAATAAGATGTGTGTGTGTGTGTTTCCTCATTGAACATGTTCAGTATTCCTGTATCAGGTTTACCTTTTTATTTTTATGATACTTTTATAAAGTATAGAATGACTAACATGACTGTAAAAGTCTTTGAGACCTTTAAAACTCCCTTTTATTTTAGACTCATTGTATTATTTATAACTGATCCATCTCTTGAATTTTTATTATCTTGCCCTACATTTTCTTTTTGTGTGCTCTTCCCAGTATAAGTCGGTAACATCCCTGAATGTTACTCTCTCCAGTATAAGTCAATGACATCCCTGAACATCACTCCCCTGTATAAATCAGTGACTCTTAAACATTAATAACTTGGGCACCACAAGTGTTGGTAATTACACACAAAACATTATTTTGTTGATAAATCCCACAGGAAATATTTGATGTTAGTTATTAAGTATACTGTACATTGTTACCATCATTAAATATGCAATTACATAATTGCTAGTATTATCTTAATTATTTAATGCTACATTAAAATCTTATAAGACTTAAGAGGTAACCAGTAATGAACTATATTTTTAGACATCATTTTTATGTTTTGAAAAGAGTATTCAAATTATTTGTGTGTGTAAAGTGTTAGTTCACTAATTGTTTTCTTGGTGCAGATGATGGCTGCCATCAAAGCCGGCTCCATCACACACTCCCGCTTGGCTCACTTGGCAGAGATGGCAGAAGAAGACCAGAGAAAGAAGATCACTGTGGATCGCAGTGGTGGAGGCTTATAATCACATAGGGTGTGACTGGTGAGCAATGTTGAATGCTACCACCAGGGTGTGATTGCTGAAAATAAAATGTTGTAATAATTATTCAGTATTCAAACAAAATAAGGAAATCAATTGGTAAACCTGATAAGTGTTGCAGTGACCAATTAATGTATGGATTTAAGACGACAAATATACTGGTAATAGCAAACCACTTTTTAGTCAGAACTTCCTTCTGACTTGATGTTTAAGCCCCTTGTATCCCCTAGTATAATAATTCAGCTAAAATGCTTGGTTTAATTAACCTTTACTGGAATATACCTGTTGATTATTCTCTAGTGACTAAGTTAGGAAGAGGAATCTTCTCATTCTTCCTGAGGAGAGTTTTCCTCTATTATTATTATTGCATTTAATGTATTTTGTGTACCTGTATATGCAGGGAGATATAACTTGCCACTTGTGTGTTAATGTCAGTACAGTAATCATTCTTGCCACACACTTCTAATTAAGATGAATATATGACTCAGCAAAGGTCAATCTGACGAGGCCCAGTGTTAAAACAAGGTTTGTGATTAATATAATTTTGTATTTTCATATATGAAAGTTCTTATAATGTACATTATGACTGACCTGTTCATAATAAAATACTGATATATAAAAAAATATATTTTAAATTTTATACATTATCACAAATTTACTAGTACAGTAATGTAATTATGAGGAGAAAGCATTAAGCCAGTACAGTATATAACTGTTTAGCACTTTGAAGAGAAGTGAAGACGAGGAGCTGAAATATGAGGATGTAGAGAAGGCACAATGGCAATTCACTTGATCCATTGGAAATGGAAACTCCACCCTGCCCAAAGTGAGGATGGCTCTCCTATATGAAGAATATATTTCACATCTTTCCTTTAATTTTATCAGAATTATTTAAGAGGTACCAAAGGATAAAAAAAAGAGCTGCACACTTGTTTTTAAATTAGTTATTAATATAATAAAACTAAAAACCTGTAAACATCTAAAAAATGAGAACTACAATCAGCATAGGAGTGTGTTCTCAATGAGTCATAACTTGGAAATATTCTAAGGTCTGGTTTCACGGAAGATTGCATCTTTTATAGCCAAAGAAACTAATGACATTTATTTAGTTCTGTAGACTGTTCTAAGATTAGGTTTAGTCTTAATACCTTGTAAGATTTGTTATTAAATATACTGTAGTGAGCAGTAATGTAGGTGAATTGGTATTATGATGAGTCAAGATCTACAACTTGCTATTACATTTCTTCATAATTATTCTGGATTGTAGTAGAAATGTGCTAATATCAGTTATTTTTTTACAGTATTTATATATAAATAAGAAGGTACAGTTTTAAAGTACGTACATATTTTGGTGATTAAGTGGTGCATTCTTGCAATGCTACAAACATGCACAGTATTTCAAGCAGGTCTTAAAGCTAACCCAAAATTTGCTGTGAATTATAAGATACAGGGTGAAGCAATCAATCATGACCAAGTAATAAATTTAGTGACAAATATATAACAAAAATTTAAGTTTACATTATTACTACAGTATACTAATGGGTATATTTATGGAATATAAATATCGTATAGTACAGTAGTAATATGCCAACATAATTTACTTTTTTTGTACTTGTTATTCTGAACATGTTTTGTACCATTGCATGTCTCAATATGAGAAATATGTAGTGTATCTTGTCATATCTTACGAGGCTTGTCATACCTGCTCCACTCCATCTAGTAGTAAATAGAGCCGGGGTGATGGGCTGACCAACACAACTTTCATGACCAGATTTAGCAGTACCTGTGAGTTTGTTATACCTCTATATATAATCAATTATTAAACTATATAATGCATGGAGTTTGAATAAATTATTGCTTTATGTCAATTTAAAATGGAAAAGGGTATGGATTTGCAGCACTTTGGAGTGTCATACCCTGAGGGAGTATCATATTCTGAGTGTATCATACCCTGAAGGAGTGTCATATCCTGAAGGAGTCTCATATCCTGAAGGAGTCTCATATCCTGAAGGAGTGTCACATAAGAGCTACTGATTGTGTGTGTTACACTTGTAATGTCAGACATTAACGGTATTAATTTTCTCATTATTTATTAAATTGTATTCATTTATAATGAATATTACAGTATAGAGCTAAGTACATGTACAATTATTTCTAATCAAAGAATGTTTGTGAAGTAACTTGCTAGCCAATTTGTCTTAAGCTAGTTAGTGTATGTTAGTTGGCTTTAGTTACAAATTTTGTCATATGATGAAGAAGCAACCTTTGAAAGATTTTGTTGAGACTTACAGCAGGTAACTTTATTATAATACTATTACTATATCCGATTTCTTCCCTAATCCAGAGCTTAAATGTATACAATGGAGTTCCATCACTACAATACTGCTACGATCAGTATTACCTTTGATACTTTGTACAATGCCTCCAACACTCGCATTCACACTTGTACTGCATCTTGACTGTTACCCATATTGGCATTCCTGTTGGATTATTTTAAAATAATAATAATAATTTATTCACTGCAAGGATAACCTGTTTTATTTTACTGCAAGGATAGCCTGTTTGCAAGATTCACTCTCAGTACACGGCTGCAGTGTGTCCTTTTTTATTGTTCCTAGCTTGTGTTGGGAAGGGAAGTCCCAGTAATGGTGAAGACTTGTACTTCCTGCAGTCAAGAGACTCCTTTTACTTGAACATATTCATTGCCATTCACACACTACAGTTCTGTTTACAGGGGAGTGAAAGACTGCTGATGGCATTAGCTACTACAATATTTGTCCTGATCATACCTATATTTAATTTTGCCCCAGAGGGCTACTTTATTGGGCAGTGTCATTCATCCTGTGAGTGAACATAACACTACAGCAACATGTTCAACCCATTGGGTTGTTCATGTCATCACTTATACACAGATGCAGCTGGGACGGACTTAACTGCCTCAAGTGAACAGACCGTCAAACAAGGAATTAACATCTTATAACCCTCAAGTTTATGCTATCTCATAGGTACAAAGTGGAGGATTCTTTTGAGTACTGTATCTGTATATGACAGTAATTACTTACCTAACTCAATATGTATTATACTGTACTACACATCTAATGTCTCATAGGTGGATACAATCTCTCAGGTAATGGTCCAGATGATATCCCTCATTCATGCTGCAAATTTGTCACTTAGTTGTTGTTTTCATCTTAGATCTCAACAGATACTTGTATCCGATACAAATCCTTGCAATTATGGATTCCCTCTTATGCATCTTAATCTTGTTTGCTATATGAAGGCTGACAAAAAGATAATGAATCAAAATGGTCATTAATAGATTAATCTGAATTATATTTGATACAAATACTTTATGATTCCTCTTTACTCATTATTAAAGAGGTTTCATGTTTGATGATTAATTTTTAAAGTTATATGTAGAAGTGGATTTGTTTTATTATACAGTGCTGCAGTTGTTGAAAACATAAGTTTAATTTAATTGCAATCTAAATTTAAGACAATCTAAGACAGTCAAAATTTGTGAGTCCTCAGCCATAATATAATAATAATAATGAGAAAATAATACTACAGTACTGTATATTCATATGGTATACTGAGGCATAGCTTTAAATAATGAATGAATTGAGTTTTACATTTTTGGGGTAATGCCCTTGCTGATGTCGCTGCTTAAGGAACCATGCCTATCCCATCTTCAAGAAATGGATTGCTTACCCGGATTTCTACCCTACTTTTCATCATGCAATCCACAACTGTTGGAGGAATAGATTATTAGGTGTTAGAGAACAAACTGCGTTCTATTTAATGTGACCTATTCCCATGTCTTCCTCCTACCACAGTTACAGGTGGGAAACCCATCTGGTTAGTTTGTCACATTTGATTCATTGATGACCACTTAATGAAACAAAGACCTGTACCATACTGTCAGAGCTTCATTGACCCACTTAGTCATACACCACCTTGTAAATGTACTAATTTTTATGATCAGAGATCTCATTTTCCCAAAGCCCCTGTGTATCATTTTGTTCCTTGATATCACTCAGCTTAAGTTTTTGCTCTGGTACTATCTTTTTACTATACTGTATAGGAATTTTATACTGTTGCATGCCACAGATAGTGTTAAATAGTCTTCCAGGCTTGGCAACTTCTTTTCATAATTACTTAAATGTTTCTGATTTGAAATATTTTGAAAATTATTGACAAACTTTGTCTAATAAGGTGTACCTCTGTTAGAAGCTGACAAAAATCTTAATTAAGTGAATGCAAGACAGATTTGTAAATATTGCATCAAAAACAGGAATACAGTCCCATATAATATGAGTAGTGTAACAAAGTGATATTTTAGTGTAAGTCTATAAAAGACTGCTGTATAGCACTGAATTAGATACACAAGTGTAAAAGCATAATTTTGTTTACAAATTAATGATGTCAACCATCAATGCATGTTAAAGTAAAGATTAATGCACAAACTACAAATAAATATATTTTTAAGGAAAGTATCATTTAATTTTGTTTAACACAATGAAAGGATAAGGTGAACATTAAAACTGTAATACTCATATTGTAGATATTTTATATACAGTATATGAAATTAACATAGGAAGATTATACCGTACGGGAGGTTTAGATATCTACACTAAAGAGAACTGGACCAAGTAAGTTTATGCATCTTAATCTTGTTTGCTATATGAAGGCTGACAACAAGATAATGAATCAAAATGGTCATTAATAGATTAATCTGAATTATATTTGATACAAATACTTTATGATTCCTCTTTACTCATTATTAAAGAGGTTTCATGTTCGATGATGAATTTTTTAAGTTATATGTAGAAGTGGATTTGTTTTATTATACAGTGCTGCAGTTGTTGAAAACATAAGTTTAATTTAATTGCAATCTAAATTTTATTTTATGAGCACCATTCTCCTAGAAGCTCTCATGCTTTTATAAATTTACACTCTCAAGACTACAACCAAAGTGGAGTTGTCTTATATGTGTTATTGCCAGATAGATATATATATATATATATATATATATATATATATATATATATATATATATATATATATATACACACACACACACACATATGATCACAAAACGCTGATCATTTTTATGCGGAAAATCCACAGAGAAACGTGAAAGGAAGATGGACGTTTCGGCCTGATTAAAGCCGTTGTCAACACCAGACTGACTAGAGGAAAGAGAGGGAAGGTACTGGCCAACACCTGGAACCTAACCAACCCATCTCTAGGGAAAGAATTAACCAGAAACAGGTATAGCTTAGCTTAGAATAGTCATAAAAGATTAAGCGGTCAGAGAATAAGGATGAAAGATTAAAAAAAACCTCATGAACACACAATATATGAATATATTATTGTAATGAGACTTTGTAACCCTCCCTATCAGTTTTTCTTCAACTGTTGTGCAATATTATAACTTAAAAATGGATCAAGTTTGTACATACCAGTACTAACATTAAGAAGATTTTAACACTAATTAGAGCGAACTCAATCAAATTCCGTTCCATGAAACTACCACAATTGGTAATGCTTTTCGCCCCATTCCAGTTAATAGTGTGATCACATGAACTCGTGTGCAGATATAATGCACTAGACGTTTTAGCGGTTCTAATACTATAAGCATGTTGTGTCAACTGCAATTGTAAGAACTTTCCTGTTTGTCCAAGGTACACAGAATCACAATCATTGCAGGGAATTGAATACACACAACCTGCTGTACAAATACAAATTGTTCACTAATAGTACGATAAAGTTCAATTTAATAAAAAACTCCCCTGGTACAGCAGGTTGTGTGTATTCACACACACTGTAGTCAGTGTCCAAATCTTCTTAATGTTAGTACTGCTATGTACAAACTTGATCCATTTTTAAGTTATAATATTGCACAACAGTTTAAGAAAAAACTCTGATAGGGAGGGTTACAATGTCTCATTACAATATTATATTCATATATTGTGTGTTCATGAGTTTTTTCTTTAATCTTTCATCCTTATTCTCTGACCGCTTAATCCTTTTTTACTATTCTAAGCTAAGCTAAGCAAGCTGGTTTATAAGCTTGCTTATAAACCTTAGCTAAGCTAAGGTTTATAAGCAAGTCTGTGCATTAAACATTTGGCACTGAGTTCTCCCACATAACAGGGCTTGATGAAAGAACACAAGAGGTCCCACACTATCTCATTGCCTGGAGAGGAATGGAGTTCTGGTTGGTTAAATACCCCCAGAATTCCTACCTCTTTAAGGGCTCTGAAGTATGGTGTAGTGGATACAGTGCGTAACTGCCACTCTTGATGACCAGTGTTCGAGTCCCCTGGTGGGTTAAGTGTCTAAAAAGTTATATATTTCAAACTTGTGGTTTATAAGTAAGTCTGTGCATTTTATTTATATATTTATATATATATATATATATATATATATATATATATATATATATATATATATATATATATATATATATTATAATGAAATTTAAAGTTTTTCTGTAGCAGGTATGTTTTTGTAGTGTTGAGATAAATCATAATATGGAACTTGAAGTTATTGCTATATTATTTCACTTTGTATAAAAAAAAAAATAGATTGATCCTAAGTAAATAAATAATCTTTAAACTGCAGAAGTAATTAATATACTACAGTATGTGGTATACAGTATTTCTTTAGGTAATTTCAGCAATTTCTTTGTGATGAAAATTATTATTAGAAAAATTGTAACACCTTAGTAATTTTTATTTACTTTTATTTGTCTTTTCTTTAGTAATAATATAAGTTCAGTTAAACATAATATATATTGTATGCAGTACTGTACTTGGTTTAAGAATTCATAATTTTTATTTACTGCATGTGACCAAACTACCTAATATTTTTAAGACAATGTACTGATAGTTCTAGCTCATATGGAGTTTAATTTTTTATTATGGCATTAGCAATTAGATATTAGTAAATGCTTAATGTTTATTGTATTACTTTGTATACAAAAGTAATCCTGATAATCCTAATCCTGAATCTTTTTATTAGTTCATAAAGCAGAGAGGAGATATAACTAGTTACAGTAGCTATATATTGTACATAATAAAACATTATCAGTTACTCCAGTGATCTTCCATTACGTTACACACGATATTGAAGGCTGCAGAGGTGACCAACACCTATTGTTTAGTACAGTCAAGGTTTATGTGAGAATAGAGACCCTGCCCGCAAGGTTCACCATGCAGCTTGTAATCACCGAAGTGTAGTTACAGGATAAGAGCTACGCTCATGATGTTCCTTATGCTGAAGCTGGACCAGTTTGTGAAGGTTTAAGAAGTCACATTGTTAGAAGATATTTAAGAAGGATCAGTGTTATTCATTAGAAATATTGATGCCAATCTCACCTCAAACTAATTTTTTTTTATATACAGTACTATTATAAGTAAATCTGAATCTTGGTTCCATTATTGTATTTTGAATGTGAAGTTTGACACAAATCATCAATTGCAGTACCATAATGCACTTTAAAGTGGCATGTATTAATTCTCATATTATTTGTGTAGATTGTAATATACAGTATAGTATTACAATGTGTTGAAGATTAAGGTATATATTCCTAGATAATCACTACTGTGGTTAGTTAATCTCTTGAGTAATAATGCAAAGGCAGTGTGTATTAGCCCTTTCTCCAACAGTATGACAAGGGCTCAAACCCAGGATTGGCACCTACTGTGTTATAATGTAGCCATGAGACAATCTTTTTTTATATATATAAATGATCTTAGTTCTCTTGTAATTTATTCAAGCCAGAAGGCAGTCCATTGTTAAAATACTTGGGTAGCGTTGTGCATGCAGCCGTCCCCAAGTTGTAGAAGAAAGCCCATTAAATGCATCTCTTTATCTCAAGACTGCTGAGTATATTGCAATTTTTCACAAAAACTTGTGATAATCTCCTGCACAAATTAAGTTAGCAGTTGATATTTAATGTAGAAGTAAAGATACATTTTATTAGCTTTAAATATTAAGTAATTTTATAGACATCTCATTTTATTGCAACATCAATAAATAACTTGTAAATGATTCAAAGAATAAATTTTATTGCAACCAAATGTATTTTTATCCAATTTTTATTTTTAATTTTTTGCAGATTTCCATCTATCAGTTACCCCTCACTCCATTTCAACTTGAAAGTTGGCTACAGATAAACTGGTTATTGCCACAGTACTGTGTGTGGCAGATGAGTATAAGTCAGTGTTATAGGATAGCTGAAGAATTATACATCAGTGCTAGAACTCAGTTCCAGCATTTAGGAACAAGATGGTTACATATCCATAGATAATATATTATACATATTATAATATATTACATATATTATTATCAAATTACATATCCAAACATAATCCAACATTATGTTTGTAACTCTTCATCTATGCATGTACATTTACCTGAATAAAAAATTTGAATAATGGTGTCTGTCACTGAGATAGGAACGAATATAGTCCAGAGCAAGGCCTCGGATACCATAGTAGTGAAATTTAAGTAAGAGGTTATCTTGAGATGATTTCGGGGCTTTAGTGTCCCCGCTGCCCGGTCCTCGACCAGGCCTTCACCCCCAGGAAGCAGCCCGTGACAGCTGACTAACTCCCAGGTACCATTTACTGCTAGGTAACAGGAGCATCAGGGGGAAAGAAACTGCCCATTGTTTCTTGCCGGCGCCCAGGATCGAACCCGGGACCACAGGATCACACGTCCAGTGTTCTGTCCGCTCAGCCACTGGTTCCCTCCTCAGCCACCGGCTCCCACTGAGGTAGTTATGGTTTAAGTATCAAAGGCCTTTCTCAGGTTAGTGAAGAGGTCAAATGGGAACTCGTTTTTGTCAAGAGCTGTGTAGATTATATTAAGCAGACTAATTAGATTATATTTTTTATTCAGGTAAAGGTACATACAGTGAAGATGACTTACAAACATAATGTTTGATTTAAAGATAGAGCTAGTACATACAATAACCAGGTGTTAATAATAATGCGTAATAATAATCAGGCAGGCGATAATAATGGCATCATAGGTACTCTTTTGGGAATGGAAGCCAAACTGGTAGAGACTTAATATGTTGTGTTTTACAAAGTAAGAATAGAGCTGTTTGTAAATAATTTTTTCAAATATTTTTGAAAGTACAGGTAGATTTGATATTGGTCTGTAATTGTTTATGTCAGCTGTCTTTGCCTCCTTTATGAACTGGCCTCATTCTTGTTTTTTAAGGTATCAGGAAAAGTATGACACTAGAGATTTGCTGAATAGCAGAGCTATGAGTAGTGCTAGAGCAGGGGCAGCACTCTTATATACAGTATCATAGATGCTATTTAATTAATGTTCCCACTTTTGGTTTAAGTTTTTTTTTTTTTTTTTTTTTTTTTTTTTTTTTTTTTTTTTTTTTTAGATATATACAAGATATATATACATTCTTGTACAGCCACTAGTACGCGTAGCGTTTCGGGCAGGTCCCTGGAATACGATC